CCTCCATATGATTCTGGTACGTTCTACGATGTTCCGGACTATTCTAGACAGCGTCCGGATTACTCGCATTACTCAGCCATGGACTATCTGACCTTATGTCGATTATGNTCCCTTACTCAGCGTATTCATCGCTCAGTCAGCGTCCTCTGGACGTCACATGCTCTCTTCTTATACGCTTACTCATCGTCTCCCCAGTAGTATATAAGGAGGACTCTGCAGGCCTCTGCTCTTCAGTCGTTCTCTCACAGACTGAAGAGTAAGTCCCACACTACCTATGCTTCCTTACATGTTTACTTACTAGTACTTGTAGCCTCTCTTTGTGCGGCTTACAGGTACAGTACTATGCAATCATAGTCGTTCTCTCACAGACTGAAGACCTCTCTTTGTGCGGCTTACAGCCTTCCAGGTTCAGAGTTCATCACACCGGAGGTATGTTGCCGTTCATACATATAAGCTCCAATACTAGCAGCTCACCGGAGATTTGATAGAGTGGTTATCGAATGACTGGTACGATAGCACAATTCGGTGGAATCAATATAGCACGGACAGTGTAGTAACCCACATTCTGCTTGAGAACCCGCAGAAGTATGTGGAGGTCCGCATGCTCGCACGGGATGTGGAAGCCTACTTTGCGATGGCATCTGTAAGCCCAATCGTTATATCAGGTTATCGTGTCTCCAACTGAATGAATAGCGGGCCAATCTTACGTGGCAAATCGACGGGAACGAGAACCCAAGGAGACAATTTCAAGCTGAAGGAGTGTTGACGAATACTAGCAGTACGGCTTTTGCCACCATAGCACCGTAAGTCGGCTACGTTATGCGTCGATTGTTCTCAGTGATGACCGCATTCACGCAGGGACATTGTGTTATTTGGTATCTCTGCCGACCTGGGCCAGATTCAAAGCACATCGTCTCCAGTGGCATGGGCCTTGGGAGTTGTTCGGAATCCCTCGATAGGCTACACCTCTGCAGATAAGATGACACAAGATTTAAGCCCCTACTATGTGACACGTTATCCCGGAACAAGCATGACTCAAGCTGTAGGTCTCGTGGTTATCATACGCAATACTTGAGTAACTAACAAAAACAATGTAGATTGATGACTTCACTGCCAGGTTCATGGAGCTTCAGCAAAGAGCGGTTGCGCTGGACGATGCTATCTTAGGGAGCGCGTCGAAAATATCGACGCAGTATGCTGATCTCGTGTCTCTTGCCGCTCGCCAGACAATGGGCTCATTGGACTTTACGGTATCGACCGGGGCCGATGGCAAGCCGAATGCCTCCGACGTTCGCATATTCATGAAAGACACGAGCGGTACTACGGCGGTAGGGTATGTACCCATCCACGGTGTTGCACTCCTTTCATTGATAATATGATGTAGACGCGTCAACCCCGTGGAGAAAATGTATGCTGCACTTCCCATGCTGATCTATCTAAATGCCTCTCTAGTGGGGCCTCTCCTTGTGCCGCTCCTGGACGCACAGGATGGCATGCTCGTGCAGCCGTCTGCGGCGCAGGATTTGGGTATGATCCCTCTGTATATGCTGCTGCGATCGCTGTTGATCAGGTCTGAAGGCCTTGCCTATCCCAATGCGACAGGTGTTACTTGGGGCCCCAACCTAGATATTGAACGTACGTCGCCCATACCATAGGCAACTTGATGCATGCACTGTAGCTGACCATATACTAGAATCCGGCAACATGCTCATTATGCTCTACGCTCATGCACGGTTCTCTGGCGACGGGACCCTGATACAGAGACACGTAAGAATGACCATTCTCGCTACTGAAAGTGTCTGATGCCGTGAAACATATCCAGTATAGTCTCGCGAAGCGCTGGACAAACTACCTTGTCGATAATTCCTTGGATCCGTCCAGCTTGCAGTGGGTATCTTCTAAAATTCTAGCCTCGCCGATTTTCACTCGTCCGTTGGTAGGGTCTCCACTGATACTGAGGCCGGGACTCCTGCCAATACAACGAATCTCGCGCTCAAGGGTATAATTGGCGTCAAATCAATGGCCGAGATGTGTCGCGCACTGGGCGAAGATGCTGACGCACAGCTATACGATGTAAGGTTATGAACGTCTGCGTATCCAAAGCTCAGTTAATGTACTATCTACTAGGGACACGCCGCCGCCCTCGCTGCGGCATGGCAATCGCTTGCGCTCTCTTCAGACGGGTCGCATCTTCTTGGGGTTTACGGCGATCAGCAGTCGTGGGCGCTGATGTACAACATCTATGCAGACCGCCTTCTGGGCACGGGAATTGTGAACCACTCTGTGAGTTGCGCGTGCTCGCCGACGGATTTCCACCTGCTCATGTCCACACAGATACTGCAAGGTCAAACAGTGTTCTACAAGACCCTCCTCAACTCGGGTAGGTTGTATTTTGTGCATGTCACTATACCGCCCAATATTTATCCCCTAGTAGCACCCAGCTTTGGCCTTCCTCTCACTGATGCCTCCGGCGCGACCAATGCTGGTATGTGTACAGTGATTGTTCGACGATGATCATATCAATTAATTGCCTTGGAATCAGCCTGGATACTCTTTACCGCAGCTATTGTGACGGACGATGGCGTGCGCGACAGCCTCATCCGTGGCGTATGGAACAGAGCCTCTTTTAACCAAACAGAAGGCCCATTCCCGGACTCGTACGACACGAGCACCGGTGCGGTACCTTCAAGCTCCGCATTAACAAACGCCTCGTAAGCTCGGCTACAAGCTTCACATCTCTTTTTACTAATGTCGCAATAACCCAGACCCTCGTTCGGAGCCATGTTTGCCCTCCTGGCTTTGAGGTAAGGATGCCATAAGGCTAGGAAGAATTATGCAATGAACTGATACAGTATCACGTTAGCGTCCCTAACACCACCATCAGCGTCACTCCGTCGCAGTCAAGCGATGACCCGTCGGGGGCCAGCCCGACGGGTTTCGGGGGGCAATCTGGACAGGGTGATCCGAGCACGGTGCACGGAGCTCCCATCGGCGCGATAGTCGGCACCGCCGTCGGCAGTATCGCATCCGTATTGCTCATCGGCGCCGCCGTATACTTCGTTCGGCGCAAACGTGACGATGACGGCACGGAAGACCAAGGTCAGAGTACCACGAATGTTCACCGTCCCAGCATGCCCCACCTCTCGTCGGAGACACAACCTTCGACCGGCACCGTGGATACATTAGATTCCCATGCCGTACAGCCTGCATTCTTCCCTATGAGCAGGGCTGCCACACTTCCAACGAAGTTCAGTCGACAAACCCATGCGACAGAATCACCCCTTTCCCCATCTCCAGAAGATACTATGGACATGGCTCCCCGGGATGTTGGGGCACCACCCAGCAGCGCGCGGTCAGCTTTGCGCGACGGAGCCAGAGGATATATGGCCGATATCGCCGCTGGACTACATGTGGAGATGGAGATTTTGCGGCGCGCGATGCAGGATATTCGCGCGGAGGCGCCTCCCGAGTACGTCGGATGAGGGACCGTGACGGGTAGCTCGACATTCTTGGTATCTGACTTTGACGGTTGAAATCACAAATGCCCTGGGAAGCTCCCTGTGTGCGCATTACTTAGTCGGTTGTCCAACTTGTTCCTTCTCTCAGTATTCATTTTCGTATCGGTTGTATATTTATGATATTCTCCGCGTTGAGATCGGATTGGTCCATATCCTTATATGACTGGCTCCTCTGCCATGTATTTGCACATTCCGCTGGATTAAGACAACACTGTGTCGCGCTTGTTTAGAGGGCGCGCCCGAGGCGGCCGAATTTTAGGTCTCCTAGCGCTCTCGGCGTTGGCGCCTAACTTGGCCACTCCTTGCTTCGCTCCGTCATCACAGCTTGCCCGGAAACCTGACTGCACGCCTCGTTCTACTCATATGGGCGATAAAGTCATGCTAACAAGCGTTCATAAAGATGCGGAACAAAAGATGACCCAAATTCCGGCACCTCCGGGTTCCCACTAGACACATCTCGGCAACTTCAGTGGTGACTAGGACTGGCTACATTTCCTTAGGGACACTCTAGTAGTGGACCGGTAGCGTGCATGGGGTAGCATATGGTCCCCAAAAGCGTCAACGTTGCAGTGCTGCTATGTCATTGCAAGAAACTTAGGCTTTCTCTCTGGGAAAAATACTTGAGTTTGCATGTCTACTCGGCAAGCCAAGGTATGCTTGGGAAATGCAACTCATCAGTCACGCACTTGTTTGGTCGCCGGCTCTCAACGGTGAGGTTTTTCTTTCTCTCCGAGTCCGCACTCGCTAAAGCTAGCTCAAAATAGATCGCTTTGCCCTGCGTCACGGGTCTCACCTGGGTCTCATGGGTAGTAAGTTCGACTTATCAGCGACTGCCGAATGCATTACACGCATGCCATGAAGCTCACACAACGCTTCCCGGGCCGCTATCTGGTCAATGAGCATCCGTCGACTGAAGAATGGGCCACCGTCCAATGGAGGATATGCCCATCCACATGTGCTCCATGCTGGCGTCCCGACAGTCACATCGGTTGACGGGTGGTCGCCGTGCATGATGCATGTCTACGAGGCGCCGCCGACGCGCGTCGGATATAGTCGCCGGACATCCATTGGTGCCACGGGCGCGCGGCCAAGCGGCGGGCCTGACGTTCGCGAAGGAAAGGTGCCGAGGTGTGGTTGGGGATATACTCATGTTATCGCTCCTCCCAACCGGGGATATGCGCTCTCATATATATCCCGCCACTCAGGTCGCCCACACCTCTGACTAACCATCCCCCCTCCGAGTCCCCTCCTTCGCTCCAACGATGACCCACGACCAGGAAAAGCAAGACGATGCCTCCTTGAAGAAGTCTTCTGGGGCCGAGGTGGATGTCATCTCCGTAGGCCCCACGACACTGAAGAGGCAAATGAAGGATCGACACATTGCTATGATCAGGTGAGAAATTGTGTAGTCATCACACGGTGGGCCGTCTAGCTGACGGCTCTGCAGCATAGGGGGTCAGTTCCACCTATGTCCCTCCGTCGTGCATTTTTGAGCGAACGTTCTTCAAGGTGTCATCGGTACTGGCTTGTTCGTTGGGACCGCAACCGCTCTTCGGGAGGGCGGTCCCGTGGGAATGCTGTTGGCGTACATGGTGGTCGGCTCACTATGCTACACCGTAATGGTAAGACCACCTGCACGCTTGACGGTAAGGGTTATTGATAGCAGTCGGCGGGATCTTCAGGTATCGCTCGGGGAGATGGCCGCATTCCTCCCTATCCCAGGAGGTCACCTTACTTTCGCGGAGCGCTTCGTAGACCCGGCATGGTCTTTCGCGGTGGGATGGCTATACTGTAGGCTTCGTCGTCAGTGCTCTCTACGTCTCCTCTTTTTTGACAGTTTCACACAGGCTATAACTGGATCATCATCCTGCCTGCAGAGATCAGCGCGGCAGCTGTCGTGATCAATTATTGGTATGCTTCAGCGAACACATTATCTTTATCGCGTACCCTAAGAGCCCTGTAGGAACAAATCTGTGAACGATGCCGCCTGGATTACGATGTGCCTCGGGGTCGTATTCATCATCAATGCCTTTGGGGCAGGTCCGTGCTTCTCTTAATACTATATGACTTGACTTACATAGCAATTGAAGGGGCATACGGAGAGGCGGAGTTCATTTTTTGCACCGTCAAGATTGTCACCATTGTCGGCCTCCTCATCCTCGGCATCGTGCTTGACCTTGGCGGCGGACCAAACCACGACCGCATTGGGTTCCGGTACTGGAAGTCCCCAGGACCGTTCGTCCAGTTCGATGGTATCGCCGGCACGAAGGGTCGGTTCCTCGGATGGTCGGCCGTCATGGCTCAAGCAGCGTTCTCCTTCATTGGTACAGAAGTCGTTGCCGTGAGTCTTCGCCCTGGCGAGAACCCGAGCCTTCGAGCCGATGCCCCAGTGCAGATTGCAGGGGCCGAAGTCAAGAATCCGCGAAGGAACATCCCGAAGGCGATCAAGCGCGTCTACATTCGCCTCCTGCTCTTCTACATCGGCGGCGTCGCCGTCATCGGGCTCCTCGTCCCTTCAAACGACGACAGGCTGAATCTCAACGACGGCACGGCGGCGGCGTCTCCCTTCGTTATCGCCATTAGCAATGCCGGCATTAAGGCGCTCCCCTCGGTGCGCTTCCACGCTCTGCGATGCTCCCCCGCCCACGAGCTGCTGCGCATAGTGGAGAGGACCTGCTGACTTCCCCGGCTTCCCAGATAATCAACGCCGCTATTCTTACTTCTGCGTGGTCAGCAGCGAACAGCGACCTGTACAGCAGCTCTCGCGCTCTATGTGAGGACCTCACCGGGCTCCGGCTGCGATAAGCATACGGTTTCTTACGGCTCGCCGGGTTACGGGGATTTTAGACGGGCTGGCGCTGAACGGAAACGCGCCGAAGGTCTTTCTCAAGACGACGCGCCACGGCTTGCCTTGGGTAGCCGTGACGTCGTGCGCGTCGATTGGGCTGCTTGCGTACATGGGCCTGAGCAGCGGGAGTGGAAAAGTATTCGGCTGGTGCGTAGTTCCCCGCTCACTTCACTCGCTGCTCATGTAGGCTGATGATAACTTAGGTTCTCCACGATGTCGGTGGTCATCCTTTGCCCGTGCCGCACACCTGACTCACCTGTCGCATACGTCGCAGGACGGCGGTCGCCGGCCTGGCGAGCTGGTTTGGCATAGGCGTCACCTACATTCGCTTCTACCGCGGCCTGAAAGCGCAGGGCATCGATCGCAAGACGCTTCCTTACCACTCGCCGCTGCAACCTTTCGCCGCGTGGTACGCCACCATCGGATGCTTCATCGTCGTACTGGTAGGTTCAATTCGTCTTGAAGTAGGCAGCATCGATTCTCATATCTCCCTGTGCGTCGGGGTAACACAGTTCAGCGGATGGTTCGTGTTCCTGAAGGGCCGCTGGGCGACGGACACATTCGTGACGAACTATCTGCCGATGGTGATGCTTCCGGTGCTCTACGTCGGCGCGAAGTGGTACAAGCGCGCGCCGCTGGTGCCGTACGCGGAGATGGACTTCAAGAGTGGTCTACAGGAAGTCTTAGACGCGTCGTACGTGCTTCTGCGGTGTCCCGTCGGCGCCGCTCTTCCTGATGGTGGTGTATCTGTTATACCTAGCTTTGATGAGCCGCCGGCGTCGGGGAACTGGGCGAAGAGGGCGTGGAGTTGGCTGGTAAGGCTTCGTTGCTGTTGCATGGGTTCACTAAATGTACTGACTTCGGCCTGACAAGATGTAATATTGCTCGAGCGCTGAGCCCAAGGATAGTACGTACCGCAGCCTCGGATGTGGGTGGCCCTTTTGCACTGTAAAATAAGACCATCTTGTAGAGTAGCTTCCATGCTATTGCCACCGCACTCTTCGTCCCGGAAATCAGCAGTGCTTCTTGACAAGTACCACTTCTCGTATCGCCGCTCGCGGAAGACGTTTCTTGGATACATTGTCACACTGACGCCACAACTGTACTAACCAGTCGGGTAATAGTATCTAGATCGATCAGTCATATTCCAGCAGAATCGGCGTTCAGACAACTTACCAGCATCCTTCAGTCATCCTCTGCTCCCAGGACCTCTTCGCCCAAACACATCCATGTCTGAGTCAAACCCCGCGAAGCGAACACAGGTTCTGATCCTGGATGGGGGACTAGTGCGCACATCTGCACCCGCTAACCCGGTGCCTATGCTGAGGCTCACCAACATCTTTGCAGGGAACCACCCTCGAGGACGTGTTCCACCAGGACATATCGCACGCCCTCTGGTCGGCCAAGCCTATCGACGAGGACCCCGAGGTGATCATATCAGCGCACCTAGCCTTCCTGCGGGCTGGGGCCGATGTCATCCTGACTTCCTCGTACGCCCACCCCTATGCTGTCCCAGGCATAGCAGCTAACGCTGGAACGGATCGGTTTTCGCAGGTATCAGTGCGCGTACACCACATTCGAACGCGCCGGGTACACTCGAGACGATGCTCGGCGCATCATGCTCAAGTCCGTGCAGCTCGCCCAGGAGGCCAGGCGCCGCTTCCGGGAAGAGACACTTGCGACGCCCCGAGACGTGAAGATAGCCCTCTCGCTAGGTCCTTACGGCGCGATGCTCTACCCCGCACAGGAGTTCGACGGATTCTACCCGCCGCCGTACGGCCCGGTTCTATCACCTTCACAAAAGAAGACCAACGCCTTCGAGGACACTCCGGAGGGGACAGCACAGGAGCAAGCCGCGATCGACGAGCTCGCGGCGTTCCACTACGAACGCCTGTGTACCTTCGCTGACGATGCGGGGACGTGGGATGTAGTCGACTTTGTCGCATTCGAGACGGTCCCCCTCCGGCGCGAAATCTATGCCATCCGCAAAGCGGTTGCATGCTTTGGTGGCGAACGGATGAAGCCGTGGTGGATCAGCACGGACTACCCAGGTGGACGCTTCCCGGAGACGAAGGCAAACGGGGAACATCTTACCGCGACCGATGCCGCGAGCGCAGCACTCCTAGACGGCGAGGAAACTGCAGCGTGGGGCTTTGGTATCAACTGCACTGGACTCGAGTTCCTTCCCGCGCTGCTGGAGGAAGCGCGAGCGGTAGCGAAGAAGCACCTGGAGAAGCACGGCAAACGGCTATGGCTGGTCTTGTACCCGAACCGAGGCGATGTCTACGACCCAGTAACCCAGAGCTGGCGCGAGAGCAGTGGACAAGGACAGAAGTGGGCGGTGGGATTTGGCACGGTGGTACTTGACGCCATAGCACACGGAGATTGGGAGGGCGTAATAGCAGGAGGATGTTGCAAGACCGGACCAGACGAGATTGTAGCTTTGGCCAAGGAGATACGTACTTGAGGTTGAGCCTTAAAAATAATCCAAGTCTGTCGAAGTTGTTTGAACTGTATGAGAATATCGTATATCGCGAGGCGCAAGCTGTAGGAGCGATTTACATGTCCATCGACGCAGAGACTCAAAGGGCGTAGGGCGTCTATTGACTGCTGAAGATCATGGACGAATTAGGTGGCGGGACCCCGGAAGCGGTGCCAGGAAATTGCCGGGGGCTCACGCAAAGTGCGTACGGTGGTGGTCGCTGTGTACCACAACGCACAAGAGCTGCCCGAAAGCCTGCACGCCGTCAAGCCCGACGTCCTCAAAACAAGCCCACAGCGGTACGTGCGTCCTCTATGTGTTCAGGCCGAAAGAACGGGAGGATTGGACCACGGCGTTGGAATGGATGGCACGGACGCAGTTTGGATGCTGATACTACCCCCACTTGCTCAGGTCCGCCATGTCGTCAAAACTCCCCTCCGTCCTCAGTGCTACCGATGAGGAGATCCAGCTCCTGCTTGCGGCCCAGTCGCATGTCGGCAGCAAGAACTGCGACAAGCAGATGTTGCCTTACGTCTGGAAGCGGAGGTCCGACGGTCAGTGAATCCTTCGCGCCCTTTGGGCAGCACGTCTTAGACGAATTCCCGTACGCTAGGCATCAACATCATCAACATTGGCAAGACCTGGGAGAAGCTCGTATTCGCCGCCCGTATCATCGCTGCCATCGAGAACCCCAACGACGTTTGTGTGATCTCCGCTCGTCCCTACGGTCACCGTGCCGTCCTCAAGTACGCCGCCAACACTGGCGCACAGGCGATTGCGGGCCGCTTCACCCCCGGTAGCTTCACGAACTACATCACCCGTTCGTTCAAGGAGCCCCGTATCATCATCGTGACCGACCCCCGCGTTGACCACCAGGCGATCCGCGAGGCGTCCTACGTCAACATCCCCGTCATTGCGTTCTGCGACACCGACGCGCCCCTGAAGTTCGTTGACGTCGTTATCCCCATCAACAACAAGGGCCGCAACTCTGTCGGTCTTGCTTGGTATCTCCTTGCCCGCGAGGTCCTCCGCCTCCGCGGCACGATCCCCCGTACTTCCGATGGCTGGAACGTCATGGTCGACATGTTCTTCTACCGCGACCCCGAAGAGGTCGAGAAGCAGCAGCAGGAGGAGGCCGCTGCGAAGGCCGCTGCCGTCGCTGGCGAGCAGCCCGAGGCTGCTATCAACGAGTGGGACGTCACGTCCGCTCCCCAGGCGGGTGGTATCAACCCTGGCTTGGTTGCTGGAGAGGGTGCGTCACGTCTCTCATAGTATTCTGACTTGAACTTACACATCTCTTTTCAGGTGCTCTCGACTGGTCCGCGGAGCCCGCTGCTGCCGGCCCTACCGACTGGTCAGCAGAGCCCGCTGCCGCTGGCTGGGCTGCGGAGCCCGCGGGCACGAGCGGTTGGGAGTAAGGGATTCGCTGGGCCTCCTTCGTGCGCTGTCGTTTCTCATCGCTGTCTGGCAAATGTTGTGTTGTACTCGGGAGCCCAAGCTTATGCTGATGTCTTTGCCATGACACGCATCGCACCATTTTTATTCGATGCAAAACTATGTACAGCGTATGACCAACACGACATGCTTTTTTCATCCTCCCGCACATGGACCTTGGGCAGATGTATCATCAGGCCTCAGGTCTGGCAGTTCTCTTCAGCATTGCAAGCACTCTTCTTTGGTATGTCTATTGTTACATGTTGCGTTTGGCAAATTGAATGCGGTGTACACTTCTCTGCTCTCTGGCACAACAGTTACTCCATGCTCCCAACCGGCTCCTCGACGCCCTGGAGGCGGAGCGCGTCATGCATAGCCTCGACCTCGTCCTGCACGCGCTCAATCGACTTGAAGTACTTAACGGTCTTGACGTGCAGCTCCGCCGTCGCGTCCTCGTCGACGACGATGAGCGCCCACGGGTGCATCTGCAGCGCGGAGAGCGTCCAGAGGTGGTTCACGCCCTCCTCGATCGCCTTGGAGAGCGCGAGCGCCTTGCGCTGCCCAGTGACGACTACGACGACCTCGCGCGAGTCGAGCACGGTCGCGACGCCGACGGTGAGCGCCATGCGCGGCACGGCCGCGATGTCGTTGTTGAAGAAGCGCGCGTTCGCGAGGATCGTGTCGTACGCGAGCGTCTTGATGCGCGTCCGCGAGGCGAGCGAGGAGCCTGGGTGGGGCGCGGGTCAGCAGCGCGTCGAGATTGCGGATGGGGAAGGGGAAATAGGGTGCTCACCGGGCTCGTTGAACGCGATGTGGCCGTCCTCGCCGATGCCCCCAAGGAAGAGCTCGATGCCGCCGTGCGCCTTGATCTTCGCCTCGTACGCGTTGCACTCGCCGATGAGGTCCTTCGCGTTCCCGTTCAGGATGTTCACCTGCGAGGGCGGGATGTCGACTGTAGGCGCGGGCGCGCACCGCGGTCAGCGTGCAGCCCTGCGCGGGCCGGGGGCAGACGCACCGTGCGAGAAGAACTCGCGGAACATGAAGGTGTGGTAGGACTCGGGGTGGTCCTCGGGCAGGCCGACGTACTCGTCCATGTTGAACGTGACGACGTTCTTGAAGCTGTGGGTATGCGCGAAGGCACGAACATGAGCCCGGCGGTCAGGGACGCGTAGAGGCGCGATACGCACGAGAGCTTGCCGTCCTTCACGAGCTTGATAAGGTGCTTGTACGTCGGGATGGGCGACGAGCCCGTCGGGAGCCCGAGCACGAACGGCTTCTCGGGCGTCGGCTTGAAGTCGTTGATCCTGCACACATCCCCAGCCGCGCGTCAGCTCCGAGTGCGCGCGGGACGCGTGAGGGGACGCACCGCTTCGCGATGTAGTTGCCAATGTACTCTCCGACGGAGGCGGCGTCGTCGCGGATGATGAGACCTGTATGCACGTCCAGTGAGCTATCGGATGTCCGCGCGCGAGTACAGGGCGCGCGGCGGCGTACGCATGGTCGGTCAGTGGCTCGCGGGTACGTTAATGGGCGGGGAGGGGGGCGAGGGTCGGATGCGGGGGGTGGACGTCGAGAACCAACAGTCTGCTCGAGGCCGGGACGTCGAGCCAGAGTTAATGTTTCTAGCAAGCTCTAACTGCTGCCAGGCCCGCCGCCTTCCGCCAACCCTCGGGATCAGACAGGCTTCGGCGGCGGACGCCCTGGCACGGCGCACGTCCGGCAGCAGATTGCAGTAATCATTTTACAGCTCGCGATTGCCGTAGTGGACGAGCCACGGTGGGGGGATGCGCGGGCGGAGCGGCTTCTGGGCCCTCCGCCACATGCACCGCGCTGATTCCTGCGCGCATATCGATGTTCTCCACCCTGCGCCTGCCCGGCACCTCTCGCGTATGCGGGCGCGCAGCGACCAACGTGCTCCCCAACTCCATGCTGTACGGCTTCTCTGGAGTGGGGGCTGGCCAATCGAGGGGAGGGGATGGGGAGGGGCGCATGCTGTACAGCGCCAGAATGCCCCCCTCGGCCCGATAAGCCGTACTGCTGCTACCGACGTCTTGCCGTCGGCCTGTCGCTCAGGCTGTCAGGGCGAGCCTGCTGAGGGTGTTTGCAAGGTGTGTCTGGTCTTTCACAGATGAGGCGAATAAGTACTATACATCTGGTGTGCATGTAAAGGAAACAGGACGGGCAGTCTCCATGAGAGGTATGTATAACGTGGCGTCTCGTTAGACCATGACGCGGATGGCAGTATTCCCAAACAAAACTTCGTCGACGGTGCGGAAAGGTGTCCCAAGAGAGCATGTGCGGAGAGGGTGCTGGTGATTGGAATGCAGATGCAGATGCGGCGTGATGATGGTACTGGTGTTGATGAGGGAGAAATCAAATCGGAGTTGTCGCAGAGAAAAGGGAAGTGGGACGCTGCGCGCCGGGTGGTCACGATGAGCGCACCCCCAGGGCCTTCCGCGCCTCCTCGCTCGCCCGCTGGGCCTTCGCGATTGATGAGCGCACCGAGGCTACACTTGCTGCTGAGCTACCTGCGGAGGGTGGCCGCGTACTGCTGGCCTTCGCCGCGTTCACTGCCGCGATAGCGCGCAACGTCGCCCCGCTCTTCCGCGGCGCGTTCCTCTGCTTTGTCGGTGGCGCCGAAGCACCACTCGCAGAAGACGCGGTCGGCCCGACCCGATCCTCCGTCTTCTTGATGAACGGGCTTGGCAGGTTCTCGACGTCCGCAAGGTCGTATTGGGGCGGCGGCGGCTGGGCAATGGCAGCTACCGTGCCTGTTGAGGAGGGCACACTCGAGGTTGAAGATGCACGGGTGATGCGCGTGCGTCCTGACCCGGAAGGCGCTGGTGCTTCGGGCGCGACTACGGCTGGACGGAACACGGCGGATGCCGACGACGCGCGAATGGACGGGCGTCGCAACCTTGTTGGGCGGACGGAGGGACCTGCACTGGTGCTCGAGCTCCCGCATGCGAGGTTCGTCGTGCTCTGGGTTGGGGTGTGCTCTCCGTCGCTTTCCTTGCCCCGCCTCTTCTCTCTGCTGCTGGCGGACTCGTACTCCTCCTCGTCGAGCTCCGGGTCGCTTCCGCTCCCGCTGTCCTCGTCTTCCGTGTCGAAGTCAAAGATCTTCGCGAAGTTCAGACCGACCTTCGGCGTGTCGACGAATAGCTTCGCGAGCTCTGCTGGACTCGGTGTCGCGACCGGCTGGCCTGTCGCAGTGAGGATCACGCCCTTCATCGCCGACGCTGGCGCAAGGTCCGCAAGGAGGTCCGCGCACTTCGTCGGCATCGGCGTCTCGAACGCGGGCATCTTCTGCATCGGGGCCGGCGCGACCGTCTTCGTCTTCACCTGCTCCGGAGACTCCGTGAGGCGGCTGAGCGGCGCCATGATATTCTTCACCTCCTCGAGCGGGTTCTTCGACCGCGTCCGCCGCTCGGAGACGGCCGTATTCGTTCCTGCTTCAAGCGCCTTCATCTTCGCCTCGAGCTCCTTACGAACACTGTCGAGCCGCTCGCGCTCGGCGTCGATCTCTTCCGAACGCTGCTGGACCCACTCCATGCGCTCCTCGACGGCGCGGCCCATACCCTCGCGCGTCTGGCGCTCCCAGTCGGCCCACATGCGCGCGACGTCCTCTTCTCGCCGGCGCACGGCTTCCATGATCTCCTCCTCGCGGCGGGCCATGCGCGCGGCGACCTCTTCTTCCTGCTTGAGGACCATGGCGCGTAGTTCTTCGTCGCGCCGGGCGACGGCTGCGCGGACGCGTTGATGCAGTGTTGTCTCAGCAGTAGCGAGGACGGCGCGAAGCGAGGCGAGCTCTTCATCCTTCTTCGCTACGACAGCAGTGAGAGCTGACTCGCGCTCGTTCAGGGCGGCTTCTCGTGTCATGAGGTCACGCTCTTTGGAGAGGAGCGCGGTCTTGTGGCCCTTCACGGTGGTGAGCCTACGAACGACACGGTCAGCATACGAAATCATCAACCAGTCCAGTTGTATGTTCACATCTTCTGCGTTTCGAACACCTTGAGCGCAAGGTCTATCCGTTCATGTTGGAGCAGTTGACTTGCTGAGGGACGCATCGCAGGCTGATTGATTGTGAGCATACATGCACACTATGGCGAGAATTAGGTGCTTACGTTCAGGTTCAGCATTGACTTGATGACAGAAGCTAGCGCGGGACTGTATCCCTTGGGTAATGGAGGTATCCGGCCGTTCCTATCCCGAAGGTCAGTACGATAGCGCACATATGTTGACCGTATGACGCACCGAATCAGGATGCTCAGCTCGGCATGTGTCTTCGCCTCGTGAAATGGCGGCTTCAATGCGCACAGTTCGTAAACCATACAGCCTAATGACCAGATGTCGGACTTGGAGTCGTACGCCTTTTCCTGCATAAGTTCGGGCGACATATAATATGGTGTCTGAGGACAGGCAAGTCAACATCCTTGGAATTTATGGCGTGTAATGAAGTGACACATACGCCGACGTAGGTGTTCGCGAAGCTTGCTTGGGTGAGAGCCTTGGATAGGCCGAAATCACCCAACTTCACGGTATTATTCTCGTCCAGAAACACTACACGCGAAGACATGGCACATTAGCACATCGGAAAGGATGGGGCGTGGATGGTTTGAGTAGTAGCCCATAGTGCTCGACATACCGTTGTCTGGCTTCAAGTCACGGTGAAGAATCTGCGCTCTCCTGTCCCTCCCATCTGCCTCCGTCCCTACGCTGCTTGTCCTTCCGTGGCTGCCATTTGGATGGTGACAGTGATTGAGTGCGAGGAGGATTTGCATGAAGTAGTTCCAGACGGTGTCTTCTGGGATTGCTCGGTTGTGTCGCTGGGCATGCTTGATGATAGCGCACAGGTCGCCGCCCCCGCAGTACTCCATGAGGATGTAGAGGATACCGGCGTCACGGTCAACATGTCGATCATGATAGCGTACGATGTGTTCGTGGTGGAGGTCCTTGAGGATGTTCCTGCCTTGAAAGTCAGACGAGTGGCTAGATGGCAATGCTACAGAGTCGGGGTGGTACGAACACTTCTGCGACGATTTGCTTGCGATCGCGCTCGGTCATGCGCTCGAAGTTAAGTTCCTTGCGCGCAAAGATCTGCCAGCCCGGACAGTCAGACTCGTGTGGGAGGGTGCTTGCCAGATTAGCCACGACGACTCACGACACCGTCTGCTTTCCTTCGGACCTTGCGGATGATACCAAATGACCCATTTCCAATGATGTCGAGGGGCTCGTAGAGCTCGAGAGGTGAAGCCATGGCGGCGGGGTCGGGGTCGGGGAGAGAGACGTCGGGATGGTGGATTTGGAGAGAAGCAGCGCAGGCGCCTCCAGCCGAAACTGTACTCGAACACGAGCGCCCATATCAAGCGCCCAACGCGTCCATGTCATCACGTGGCCGCGTCGCCAGCGCTTTTCCCGTTGGAGAGAGATCTTCGCAAGAATCGCAACTTGTCCCGAGAAGCGCAGACATTCTACCCACTCCCTCACCCGCGCTCAGAGTATGTACACAACTAGGCAACTTCTCTATGAACTGGTACCACACTACACGGGGCCGTGCTCAGTGCGAAAGGCTCTCAGAAGTAGTGAGGTTCAGATCGGTACGAGATTCTATGCTACGGCGTGTATGCGAGGTCGAACATTGTCCTAACCCTTCCCGATCCCAGGACCCCATCCACAGCGATACCTGTGCACTACATCATGATTAAATATCGACCTTCTCAGGGTTATTGCATGTCATCTCTACGCAGCCTAACCCTGTTCCACGTGGGTGCCTCCGGAGCCCCGGGAACGACTCCTGCTGGGGCCCTGGATCTTGTCAAAACTCTACCACATTATTGCGGACAGCAGTGCCTACTTAGCGCTTAACAGCCATATGTTCTCAATCTTAGGTCAGCTGGATGTAGAGATGTGAGTGCTCTTTCGCTCTCATTCACTGTATCTTCAACTCATCCATAACTAGACTCGGAAGCACATCTGGCATCCACTTGTCGAACGTCGCTTCGCATCGGCGTTCGTTGCCCTCTGTACAGCGTTGAAAGCAGATTCCATATACTTCTCTGTGGGCTTCTACAACTTTGATTTCAAATCTTTCATAAGGAGCGCAGTCCGGCATACCGGTGCTTTCATGACACACGGCTGTGAATGTCGTTGTCCAAGGAACAAGACCGCAGGAGACAAGAAGTCTATACTTCATATTTTGGGTCCAATTGGCTGTCTCCTCTGTGGCCGCGTGGGAGTACTGTGTATAGAACCGCACTATGGCCAGGAGACGTAGGTGCGTTGACAGATCTAGTTTGCCATGTAGCCGCTGACGCTCTCCTTCCACAGTGGCCTTGGCGTTGCTATATGCTGACACGGGGCTGAATCAATATGGACGGTGGTAACGGCCATTGACATCGGCCCCGGGGACATGAAATCTGACTCACCAATGTTCCCCGGGGGACCACATCTGCTCTGCAGTATGTGGCATGCCTCACGCTCCTATGCAAGATCCCATGTTTGTGGCTTCATATAACGCTCGTCGCTCTCCTCTCCGCGCGCTACCACCTCTCCCTACGCTCAACACTTGCCCTCCTCGATGACATTGTCTTGGCTATGGGCCTCCGCCTTTCTGGCAGGCGTTTTGGCCCAACCTCCGCCGCAGACATTCTTTCCAGCCAGTGTCCCTCTGGCTATTCGCTCTCCGTATATGAGTACATGGTACGCCACCTCAAACGTTTCACGGCCACCGTCGAATTCTTTGCCTTCGTTTTGGGGAATGGGACTACAGATACCGTGCTTTTCTACGTTTACAGAAGCTCTGCTCTTACAAACGATCAATAGGCTGCGATGGATCTGCAGGGGAGCGTCAGAGTAGACGTCAGAGTAGACGGCAAGACGTACATCTGGACAGGAGAGAATAACTTCCCTTCACTGCCAGAATACTTCTCTGCGAACCTTACCAGCATTCAAATCACGCCGACACGCACTGTCTTCATCATGCAGGCTGGTCCAATGAATGTGACCATTACATATCTGTCACCAACCGAGGTGCGAAATCCTGTATCCCATCGGCTGTTCTCTATACCTGAGTTTTGTGTATCAGCCGTCCGATTGGGTACTACAGTCATTGCCTTTCTCTTACGTTTCCTTCGAAGCAATCTCGCTCGACGGCCACCCTCACGCCGTTGAAGTGTATGCAGAGCTCACGGGAGGTATGCTGCTTATGAGACGACTCCTGACACCCAGAATAGAGTGGTTGTCGCATGATCGCAACAGTGCCATTCGGTGGACTCAGTACAGCACGAACAGTGCCGTGTTCCACATTCAGCTTCAAAATCCACAGAAATATTCCGAGATCAGCACGCAATCACAAAACGGAGAAGCGTACTTCGCGATGGCGTCCGTAAGCCCAATTTTTAACGCCACCCAACGAAATTCTGTTTTATCATATCATTAGCGGCCTGCTCTTACATGGCAAATCGACGGCAAATACGAACCTCGGCTACAGTTTCACAATCAGGGAGTATTAACTAATACCAGCAGTACCAGTTTCGGACCCATCGCACCGTATGTCGGGTAGCTTTCAGTCAACTGTTTTCTAACATGGATCGTCCTGCTCAGGAACCTCGTCCTCTTCGGTATCTCCGTCGACCTCGGAAAGATTCAGAACACGTCGTCTCCGTTGACGTGGGCTTTTGGAGTCGTTCGCAACCCCTCAATAGGTTACTCCTCAGCCGATAACACGACGCAGGACTTGAGCCCATACTATGTGACTCGTTACCCCGGGTCCAGTGGCCTGGCCCAAGCTGTGAGTGGTAGCTGTCTGATCTTAAACGCTGGAATAATTGATGAAGGGCGATGCAGATCGATAACTTCACGGCAGGGTTCTCAGAAGCCCAGAAAAGAGCGATTGCACTGGACAACGCTATCCTGGAGAACGCATCGAATATCTCGACGCAGTACGCAGATCTAGTGTCACTCGCTGCCCGTCAGACGCTGGGCTCCTTGGACTTCACGGTATCAACGGGGACTGACGGGAAACCAAATGCATCGGATGTCCGCATTTTCATGAAGGATATGGCTAGCTCTACGACGACAGGGTAGGTAGTTCCTAATTGCGTTAGCCTTTTGGACTAATGTCGCTGTCCAGGCGCGTCAGTCCCGTAGAAAAAATATATGGAGCACTTCCCCTGCTTCTCTACCTCAATGCTTCCATCGTGGGGCCCCTCCTTGCACCTCTGCTGGATGCGCAATACAGCACAGTCGGGAAGCTGTCCGCGGCGCAGGATTTAGGTATACTCTACCCGTATGTGTTAAGGTGATCGCTGCTGATGAAGATTGTAGGCCCCGCCTACCCCAATGCGACAGGTGCCACTTGGGGTCCCAATTTGGATGTTGAGCGTGAGCTATTCGCGATGGAAGCTCGTTGCACCTCATTGACGATGATACAGAATCCGGAAACATGCTGATCATGCTTTATGCCCATACGCAATTCTCTGGCGATGGGTCGTTAATATACAGATATGTAAGAAAATATGTTCTCGCTGTGGACGACGGCTGATGCTACATGGGCCGTTCAGTACGACCTCGCCAAGCGTTGGGCAGATTATCTCATCAATAACACGTTTAATTCAACCAGCGAACAGTGCGTATCCCCGGAACTACGTCTACAGTGGCGTAGTAGTGAACGTTGACTTTTACGCCGCCAGATTTTCCGCAGATTCCTTTGAGATAGGAAGCACTGCCAACATAACGAATCTTGCTCTGAAGGGCATCATCGGGGTCAAATCCATGGCCGAGATAAGTCGTGCTGTAGGCGAGCAAGCCGACGCAAAACTATACGATGTGAGACCATCACCAATATTTCGAAAAGCATGCTTACATGCAATCTGCCAGGAGCACGCAGCTACCCTGGCCACTTCATGGCATTCACTCACGCTGTCTTCGGATGGGTCGCATCTTCTTGGAAGTTACGGTGACGAGGGGTCGTGGGCGCTGATGTACAACATCTATGCGGACCGCCTTCTGGGCACTGGCGTTGTGAATGAAACTGTGAAGTGCAAATAAACCTCTGAGAAGTCCTCCACGCTCACAGCCGTATAGATACTGCGTAGTCAGACAGCGTTCTACAAGGCCCTCCGCAGCTCGTGTAAGCCGCTGTCTCTTCTCTCTGTGAAACTCGTTACTGATCCCTTCGAGTAGCAGCCCTTAACTTTGGCCTTCCTATTCACGGTAACACCAGCCTGACTAATGCTGGTATGTGTACAGTAATTGCTCGAGGAGTCAGGCATGTCGACCAATGACCTGTTATATAGCTTGGGTCCTCTTCACCGCGGCCATCGTGACGGACGACGGCCTGCGCGACAACCTCATCCGCAGTGTTTGGGACAGAGCATCCTTCAACCAAACACAAGGTCCATTCCCGGAGTTGTATTATACACGAAACGGGTCAGTGTCTTCGGGATCTGCGCTTACAAATGCCTCGTAAGTCCAGACCTCCTAGCTTCACTACCCACCGTTCGCGATTTGATTTATGTCGCATCGACTCAGACCCTCGTTCGGGGCAATGTTCTCTCTCCTGGCTCTAAGGTGAATATGATCTAAATTCAAGCTTCGAACTACGCAATGATCTCATAGTGACGCGTTAGTGTCCCTGACCTTACTATCAATGTCTCTCCACCACAACTCGGTGGAGGCCCCGCCGGAGGACAATCTAAACAGGGCGCAAGGCACGGAGCTTCCATCGGCGAAATCGTCGGCAGCGTCGTTGGCAGCATTGCAGTCGCATTACTTCTCGGCGCGGTCGTGTACTATGCCCAGCGCAGACGTCGCAATCGCAGCCTGGAGATGTACGGGCATCGGCTAAGCATGGGCAGCCTCTTTTCGGGGACTCAGTCACCAACTGGGGATGTGCCTACCTCAGGCTTCTCGGCCTCGCCATCCGCATTCGTCCACGGAAGCGTTAGTGGGGCTGCTACAATCGCCACGAAGTCGTTTGGGGCGCCCGAGTCTCCAGTAGACGCAATCCCTTCCCCGCCCTCTCCGACCGGCCATGCGCGCATGAATTCATATCCCCAGACAGCACCCCAGGACGCGCCATCTAGTAATACCAGCTCAGCTGCGCGCAACGGTAGCAGTGGATACTCGGACGAGATCATCGGTCTGCGGGTGGAGATGGAGAACCTGAGGCGCGCGGTGCAGGAGATACATATTCAAGTTGGGCGAGGGACGGAGGCTCCCCCCGAGTACGTCGAATAACGAGCCGTGGCGAGTGAATCGGGGCGTTTTCTTCCTGTTATATAGATATCTTGTCAAACATGTCCGATTGCGAAGGTCCTGGCCACGCTTGTCACGCACTATAACCCCCCCGGGATACATGTACGTCCTATTGTTGTTGTACGTCGTTTCGACTGTATACCTCTCCTTTCCCTGACACGACGATGTGTCCTTTTCGCGCCCTGTACTGCGCTCTGGCGTGCGTGCGGGGTCGCGCCATCACGTCCAGAGGTATGTATCCGTGCGTCTTTCACCGAGGGATATTCCCGCTGGTAGGGGACTAGTACACCATGAATGGCACCGTAACATTTCACAGAGACAACAACAGTAGCCTGAAAACGAGATATATACATATAAACATACGGATAAACGTCAGAGTCCCAAAAGCAGGCCGTCAAGGAGGTGCGGCACAGTAAATCACGCACACACATCAAGCTACTCACCCACCACTCTCCTTCTGCTGCTCTCGGTGATATCGCGCCTTCCCGGTCTTCAGCAAGATCTCCAAGAGCTCATCCCACCCGAGCAGCGGCGGTCCGCCCGCAGTGCGCGTCGGCTCTAGAGAAACACTGAAGCCCCCAAGCAGCGGAGGGCGAGCCTGTTCTCCGAGTCGAGACGATTCTGCAGGAGCGGCGGAGCCACGGTGTGACTTTCTGACAGCCTTCGAGCTAGGTCCTGCTGCGCGCGAGCCAGATGTCTGGTTTGTCTTGGGGAGGCTGGTCGACGGTAGGTCCTGAGAGACGGCGGGTCGCGAAGATACATCGGCTGAGTTGCTTTCGCGAGTCACGGACTTTCCCTTCGCGCTGCTTGACAGCCGTCCGGCCACGGGTCGCGCGATATGAGACACGTCGGTAGCCCCTCTCGAGCCTCCCTCCTCCGGAACGCGTGAAGCACGGGAGGACGTTCGCGAAGCTGAGCGCGACGCGGCGCGTAAATCGACGGTCTTCGCCTCGCGAGAGCTTCCTGCACTTGTTGAGCCCACAACCGGTCGAGCCTGAGGCTGAGGCTGAGGCTGAGGCTGAGGCTGAGGCTGAGGCTGAGGGAGAGTGCTCGATGCGCGGGCCGAAGGGCGCGAAGACGGCGCCCGAGACACATTTCTAGGCAGAGGGGCATCCGGCGGCGTGGTGTTGGTGAACGTGTTCAGCCGACTGCCACTCAGCGCAGGCACGGACACCGGGACGGCAGCGGTCGACGTTTTGCGCTTCTTCGCTGGGGACTGCTCGCGATCGAGGGAGGGCGACGACGGCCTGGCGGCTCGTTTCCTGGCTTGAGGCGCGGGGTCGCGCGGGGCAGCGAAGGATTTGGGTGGTGACGCTGACTCTACCTTCACCTTCACCTTTTCTGGCGGACGCGTTTTCGTCGGCGTGGCAGCTTCTGGTGCTTTAGCCTTTTGCATGAACGCCGGGGCTGCCCAGATGACGGGATCGTGCGAAAGAGGCTGGGAAGGTCCGTTCGGCCCCGCCTCGCTCTCCACCTCGTTCGACACCGTCCTGCGCCTCTTCGAGGCCGGCTCGCCAGTCGACGGCTCGGCTACTTGCGGGTTCGGAGAGGTGCCTGCTGTGTCTGCGCTCCGCTTGCGAGCGTCGATGACCTTCTGGACCTTCGCCGTGTACTCTTCGATCATGGCCGCCGTCCGCGCGTCGTCCGCTTCCATGCGTCCCTCCTCTGCGCGCTCCTTCTGCGCCGTCTTTTGCGCCGTAGCCTTGGTAGGTTTCGGATGGGGTGCACGTCTCCTGGGTGGCTGGGTGTCTGGATCGGCCATCAAGAGTGGATCTGAGAGGAGTTCGTCCACCTCCGTTTGGCTGTCCTCTGAGTCGGAGGCGGAGGCAGCTGTTATTGCAGCCCACCCTGGCGCAGACGGCGCCGGGTCAACCGTCATCGGAGAAAGAGATCGTTGACCAGGGGTGGTGTTATCTTGTACAGGGTCGCCCGCTTCCCGTAGCTCTTCGCTGCTACCGTCGGCAACCACAGGGGGTTCATCGTCCGCAAGGGCCCGCGTCTCGGAAGGCGCAACGTCCTCGACCGGCTGCTCGATTGCAGGGTCCGGCACAGGCGCAGCCGCAGCGGCTTCTTGACTCTGCGAATCGCCCTTGTACGACAGACTCTGCTGCGACCGTCTCTGCGGTTGTCCCTGAGATTCTTGCGACTCGCTTGCGTCTGCGGATGGTTCTTCTGCTGCCGCGTTGACGACATCGTCCTCGCCGACCCCCTCCACAGCACCGCTACCGGGATCACGCTCGCCCTCCGCCGCGGGTGCGACCTCGTTGCGGAGCTGCGAGGGGCGCTGCGATTGCGACTGTGATTGTGACGGAAACTGGCCTTGACTTTGCGATCGATCTCCGTCCGAGTGGCCAGTACTATGGGACCCGCCTTGGCTCTGGCTTTGACTCTGGCTTTGCGAGGGCCGGTGACTCCCTGGGCTTGCTGTATCCGAGTTCTCGACTAGCACCCGCCCCTCTCCGCTGGCGTCTGGGTCTCGACGGAGCAGGCTGTATTGCGGTAAGGGCACTCTGCGCACTGCTGGGACTGGGTACGCGGGCGTCATGGGTATGAGTCGTGGAGAAGATGTGGGCGAGGGCGGGAGCCGGTAGCTGGATGGGGGAAAGCTGGAGGGAGGAAGTGTGTATATGTTGGCGGAGACGCCTTTGGGCGTGCTGTGTGCCGGAGGGGAGGAAGCATATGGTATTGAGAGCAGAGATGATGGTGGGGGTTGAATGCGGGGTTGAGCGGGTGCGGGCATGGGCATCGAACATTCGGGCGCAGGCGCCGGTTGTGCTGCAGGAGGGTCGACGTCCATCTCTACCTCAGCACTAGGTGATCGCGAATATATCGGTGGTACTTCATCCACGGCTTCGTCGCTGTCTTCCTTGAACAGGTCGTCCTCCGACTCGTCTTCGGTTCCGGAGATTTTGTTACTATGCTTCTCAGATGGACCGGGGCTGCCCCGGACTGATGGCGACCAGTGGGAGGGTGTGCGGGCAGGGCTGCCAGGATGCGTGGGTGACTTCGGGAGTCTATTTGGGGATGCGCTGGATCTTGCGGAGTGCTGTCCATCCAGGGATGCAACTAGAGGTTGTGTAAGACATCCCGCAGGTGGGGCACGCGTTTTGCACGTACCTGATCTTGAACGTGAACGGGATCTGGCTTTCTGCCTGTGTGAGCGAGGACTTTCAGGCTTGTCATCAGGTTTTGAGGTGGGCTCTCGTGGATGACCTATAATTAAGTGTGAACGTAGTGGATACGCTACGAGTAATTTATTCGTACCACAGAGGAGCATCAACTGTTCGTAAACATCATCCGGTGGGCGGAAATACTTCATCATATTCGTGTGTAGTCGCTATATGCGTGTCATTAGTCTAACTCGTTGAGTTCATAGACGCATCAATGACTGACCTTCCAGCTGGCTCGGCGTACGGCTTCTTTACTGGCGATTGGACGTTGCCCGACTGCATCTATTGACGGCCGTGGCTTATGTGCCGCGGATTTCCTCGCAACTCGAACTTTGATGTCTATGGCGTTTATAGTCGTCTGGTGGAGGGCATTCGTTGAATCCGCCTGGAGCTGATGAGCACGTTCCGCTGATTGGGCCAATAGGCTTTCCTTCCTCAGTTTGAGTACGTTGCTAATGCAAGTGTGAGCATACGCTTCACCGGGTTTCACATCCTTGTTACACTTACCCGCCACCGCCATCCTGCCCCAACCCTATCATCCATTCTCGAATGTTTGGATCTTGGGCAATATCTACGGGCGCCCCCCACGTCGTCTCCCCGAAAGCTCCCAAGAGGTCAGGCTCCAAACCAGCCTGCCTTGCGTCGTCGTTCAAATATCCCAGGTGGAAAGGCTGCCGTGTACTATATCGAGATCCGGAGTGAGAGGAATATATGATATATACGAGTACACCCACAGATATCAGCCACCAGATGTAAAACTCCGAATGAAAATAAATGATCGCATCCGCCATATATTTGAGGTCCCGATGGAATGTTTAAACTCCTGAACCTTGTACTTTGAAGACGACGCAAGGCAGGCTGGCAAACTATGTCGGGCGCTTGATTGGTCAGGATCGCGAGCTCCTCCAGCAGCAAGCTCGCGAGGGCAAACGAGGGCGCGCGAGGGCAGGCGCACAGACTGCGTGTGTACTGAATGTCATGTATGCTTATTTTGATAAAATTTTGCAGCGTGCAGCTTGAAGCTCGAGGGCGTCGCACACCGAATTAACTGTATTAGTGACAAGATAGTCCCAGATGCAGGCTCCCGCTCAACGTAGACAACAGGCCTGCGACGGCCGCGGGGAATGTCAACGTGCACTCCCCCGTTTCCAGGTGTCGCGCGAGCACGTAGACCATGCCAGAAGCGGAAGTGGGCCAAGGCAGGTCGCGACGTGCGCGCGAGGATTGTTGCGCGCACAATGAGGATAAATCCACGAATATGACGCGCCCGCGCTGCTCACCAGCGCGCAACCCAGCCGATGTCCTCACGAGCATGAGGGGCTAGCAAGCCGTGCCTTCAAGTATAAAAACTGGTGCTTTGATTTGTACCGCGAGTTAGCAAGCATCATAGACTTGAAACAGTCGAGAGTATCTAGCACGCGGTCGCCGCTGGGCAAAATACTTCCTCACTCATGGTCACACAGCGAGCATCGAGCGCGGTCGCCACTCAGCAAAAAAAACAATATACCGCGAGGCATATGTAATCAGCGCGGACGCGACTCGGTGCGACTTGGTATATCGAGGTAAAGAGACAGCGGCCGCGTCTGCGCGCGCGCCCTCGTTTGCCCTCCGCTGGAGGAGCTCGCGATGCTGACCAATCAAGCGCCCGACATAGTTTGCCAGCCTGCCTTGCGTCGTCTTCAAAGTACAAGGTTCAGGAGTTTAAAATTCCGTCGGGGCGTCAAATGTCAAGCGGGTGCGATCACTGATTTTCATTCGGAGTTCTGCATCTAGTGGCTGAAATCTCCAGGTATGCTTTCCTCTCGTTCTGTCGGATTTCTATGATACCTGCTTCTTTACCTGAGATATTTGAACGACGACGCAAGGCAGGCTGGTTTGGAGCCTGCCAAGAGGTCTATTTCGTCTACGTCGAGGTACAACCGCCGCTCGCTAGTCATACCGCCGGCGTTGTCACGACGAGCGACTCGTCCGAAGGCAAGGCGAACCTTTCTAAGACGCACGCAAGCCGACTTGTGTGAGGTGATGGAAACACCTGCATGCGAGGGATGCCTGTGCTGAAGATCAATAGACGTAGCCACGACGTTCAAGCCACGTACTGCATGTATCTCTCGATCGCATCCACGCTTAGACGAGCGTGTATGTAATGTTTCTTGTCGGAAACATCGGCCCAAATTACACATGGTGCCGTGCTATCCGCGGGTGCAAATGTGAGGAACTAGCACGATATAGACATGTAACATTCAGCGCTGAGTTGTTTAAAGAGTGAATTCAATCACGCACCTTGACCAACTGGGCTTTAGATGGTTTCTCAGTTCGAGGCACGGCCGAAAGGTTCCCTCCGTACTGCTCAGCGTTGGAAATGAGGTAGTCGAGAATCCAGGGTGCCCGGAGGGAGTCGCCCATGAAGCCAGAATCACCACAAGAGATAGGGGAGATGCCAGAGAAGACTGAGCAGGAGACCCGGAGAAGCAGGGACAGGGGACTCGGAGAAGCAGAGACAAGCGCGAGAGGTCCGGGATCCGGAGAGAGTCGACGCGTTGTCGAGCGAGACGGTCACGGCGACGCGGCAGTGACGGGCGCGTGACGGGACGCGACTGGGCGCTCGGCGCGGGGACGGCGGATCGGCTGGTGCCACGGTGTCTCCTGAACGCTCCGGTCGACGCCAGCTGCTGCTGCTGCTTAAAAGTGTTCCATCATGTCTCACTCACTCACTCACTCTCTTTGACTGCACCTCCCGCAACCTCCCCACTCCAGCTCGCACAGGATGCCTGCCCTCGTCCCCCTCCCTGAGAGTCCCGCCGCCCGCGCTGTCGCCGTCGTACAACTATATGCCCACCCCCGCGATCAGGCTCTCCTCCTTGCTCTCCTGAAGTACGCCCCTAATGAAAAGGGCCGGGCCAATATTGCACACAAAATCATACATGCTGGCGACTTCCACCACACCGATGGCGACAGTCGTTGCTTAGGACAAGTCGCAGACTTTTTCTGGCGCAATGTCATCTTGCCAGGTAATGCAGCTGCGGAACCATTCACCTGCATTTTTCTCACATTCCACGCGTATTTTAGTGCGTGTGACTGGGGGGATGACTCCTGAACCAAGGAGCAGGCTTTCTCATAGTGGCCTGAGCTCGGCGGATCAAGTCTGCTCTCCAGCGGAGGCAGAGGCGATCAATGACCTGAAAAGCGTCATGGAATCTGTTAGCACTGTTATTCTATCCATGCACATATCCCGCTCATCCGCTTCTTAGGCGTCAGGCCGGGATAGGCACATGTGCGTGATCTCAGGGAAGCTCGATCCCGAGGTCATTGCGAACGGGTGAGTGTGGCCTTCAAATTTCGCAAGCAGAGCAATATGTGGAGAACGTCTTGTGGACTGCGGAGTGTGTTCTGCGGAACATACTCTGCGTTCCGGGTGACAAAGTGTCACAGTTCTCATAGCCAAGCCACGCAAGTTCAGAGACTCGGAAAAGTGCGTTTGGCCTTACCACGACTACGTTCTTACATGCCACACCGATCAGAGTAGCGGGTATGATGTGTTCAACGTTGGCTATAGCGGCAGAGACCACATTGTACCCGTAATCAGCGTACACTAAGGTCAAGGTGTGAGGCGCAAGCCCGCCACTCACCGTGGGCAGCGAACACCATGTGATATACTGCACAATATCCGTCCACCGTTGGTCGCCTCTGTCACTGGAATGCGGAACATGTTCCCGAACGCGTTCTGCGGGACAGATCTCACCCTCGTCAGGACTTCCTAAATATGTGTGCTGAATGGAGGCGTGTGTAACGCTTCTTCAAGAAGTGCATATGGAGAGAGGCTTCACCTGATTATCAGCACACCATAGAGCCTCTTCTGCAACTCGCCTTGCTGTACTTACCCATTTCACTGTCTAGCTCCGGCGCGTTCCCTATCCCGGCTTGCGGCCTGGAAGTGACCCGCGTTGCACATATTATCCCCTTCTCGCTGCGGACCAGCACTGGCACTCACTCCGGTCACCTCCCGTCCATCTGGTCTGCGCTGGAGTGCTTCGGCGGCGTCGACCTCGGCAGCCTGATGCACGGTGGCATCAGTTCCCTCGACAACGTCATCACCCTCTCTGCGACGTGCGCAATTTACCTACAGTACAGTCGTCCGGGCTAACACTCTGTGACCTCTCGGACCTCCTAGCGTGCACCGATACTTCACCGAGCTCCAGGTCGCGCTGGAACCCCTCCCGGTTCGTTCCGCCCACCCCTCCTATATTCCGTCCCACCCACTGACCCGCCCCGTGCACTCAGGACACCCCGGGCACCTACATGGTCCGCACCTGGGGCAAGGTCGCGCCGCGTCTGGGTCTCCCGAAGACCGTGAAGCTTGCGAGCGGCACCGCGGGGGCTCCGCCGCCGAACCCGGCATACCTTGCCCTGCACTGCGCGATTTGCCGCGTCCTGTGGGCGTCCGCGCGCGCGGAGGAGCTCAAAGACGTGCTCGACGACCTCGAGGAGGTCGCGCTGCTCGCCGCGGACGGGAGCTCCGCGAATCTCATCAACATCGCTATCTACCGCTCACTCGCGTTCTCGCGCGCGGACTCGTAACACGGCCGAACCAGGCCAGCACCCGGCCTAGGCAAAGCCCGACAAAAAGGAACTGTAGAGCCTTCTAATATCTGTTGTCCTACCGTCTGTACCGCCCACCGCTCCTTGTCACCTCGCTCCTCGTCCCACTCCTTGTTTTGCTTTTGCACTCGCATGTCTCCCTACTCCGTGTCCGCTACGCTTGTACACACATCTTATCCTTAATTCATTGCGCTTCATGACTAGTGTCCGCGCAGCCATGAGTCGTCAGGTACGGCACACGTTTAAACTGGATCCAACGCGACTCTCCGACCGACGAGGCCTTCTACGGCCCCCTTGTGACATCGGACCGCGGTGGACTTTTGAGTACGAGGACTGACTGACGCACTGGCAGACTGCGTACATACCGTGCTGTCTTTTTTTTGGATCTATGTGATTATACATATACAAGTAGTGCTTGTACAGCCGTCTACTAAGGTGATAACGCAAGGTTTTGAAATGAACATGCCGTGCTGTCAAAGGATCCTCTGTTCTGCACAGTTGCTCGGATGCGACCGGACGCTTAATGGAGCCGTTCGTCTACTTACTACTTAGTAGTACTTAGAATGCTGCTAGTGATTTGGAGAAGTCCACTATACACAGTGTGCAGTAAAGCATCGTGTACATCGGAATAGTTACATCGTAGGGGGAGCCGCTGTATGCATCGTACACGGAAGACAAATAGCTACATAGACATCTGGGATATGCACAATCCTCCCTCTCCCGGATCAAGACTCGAAGACGTAGGAGCGTAGACAGCCGTACTTATAAGGAATAACAGCTGCCTACGCGTCGTCGAAGCCGCTATCGAAGAGGTAATTCGCGGCGAGCTCCTCGTTCTTGTCGCACGCAAAGTACGCCTCGATCACCGCTTGCCGGGGGAAACCAAGCGCCTCCAGCTGCACCGACGCCGCAATCAGCCTTTCGCCCTGTTTCTGGTACACACTGAGACACGTACCCGCTCGATCGCAGCGCGCTCCTCCTCCGTGACCTGGATGACCTGGGCGCCGGGCGGGATCCCGCCCTCCTCCTCGTCCCCAAGGTCGCCGCCGAGAATCTGCGCGAGGGCCTCGGGGTTCTGCGCGAACAGCTGTGCGAGCTGGGGGTTCTGCGCAGCAATTTCCTGGATGACGGGCTGGATGAGCGCGGGGTTCTGCGCCATGATCTCGCGCAGGTGCTGGATCTGCGGGTGGTTGGCGAGCGCGGCGAGGGCAGCGGTGCCGCCTGGACCTCCTGCTGCGCCACCGAGGCCACCAAGAGCTCCGAGACCCTGGCCGCCAGCGGGCTGTTGCTGCTGCTGTTGCTGCTGGGCGAGCTGGAAGAGGTTCTGCGCCTGGGCGGGTTGCGCGGGCTGGGCTGCCTGGGGTGCTGCTGCCGCTGCTGGTGCGGCGGGGGCAGCGGGTTGGGCGGCGGGAGCGGCAGCGGGGGCAGCAGGTTGGTCGAGATGTGCAGGAATACCCTGCGAGGGACACATTAGTCAGCATTTCTATTTCGCATACGACGATAAGACATACGTTGAAAAGGTACTCGACCGCCCGCTCGGGGTTGTTGAAGGACGCGCGAAGTGCGCGCATCACCTGTTCCCGCTCGAAGCCCATCTCAATCATGTTCTGGACGGTGCCCTGGAGAGCCTCTCCGGTGAGGAAGCCGTCGCCCAGCGAAGGTGCAACGGGCGCGGCTTGCGCAGGGGTGAGGATGGGCGCATTGGGAGGTTGGGGAGCCGCAGTAGAGGGTGCGACAGGTGCAGGGATGGAACTCTCGGCGGCAGGTGCAGCGGCCGCTGGTGGCGCGGTGCTTGCGGCAGGGGTTGAACTCGATGCACCGGCAGTGGCGGCAGTAGGCTTGGGCTGAACGAACGGTAGAAAAAGGTCAGTTTCAGAAGATAAGGACGGTGTGGTTATGCGAGATCTACCTTCGACACCATGAGCACCAGGAAGTCCTTCTCTTTGATCTCACATGATTCGATCGACTTGGAGTCAGGCAGAACTTTGCCTGTGTACGACATGAGGTCCGTTCAGAACATAAGATGGTGTGTTACGCACCAGAGTAAATCAACTTCTGGCTATCAACTCCATGGCCCTGTGTCTCCTGGATCTTCTGCTTGAGGTCCGCGACAGTATCGGTGCCCTCGGCCTCGATCTGCATGGATCCGTTGCGGTGAGAAGAGAGCACAAATAGGACACACATGCGATACGCACCTGGAAGACCTTCTGCTGCAGTGTCTTTACGGTGATTTTCATGGCTGAGACGGGCTGATGAGTGATAGAGGGCAAGGTAAAGAGGGCGCTAAAGCAAAGTGGATTCGCACTGACGCGTCCCGAGCACGTGCGACGTGACCGGCGCTTCCGCTCTGGGCCCGGCGCTCGCGCTGAATCCGGCCGGCGCGGGGCGATCGCCCCAGTGCAACGCCTCTTGCTCCCGACCACAAACATCGTGCTCTCCGCTCTCTGTCCTGCAGACATCCATCAAAGGCGGTGGTGCGTGTGCATTAGGTTCGTCATATCACCATGCAGGCTGCCGGACCGCCCTCACATGGCGTCCCCGCATGTACAGCTCGGTGTTCGGGGTCGACAGCCTGCATCCACCAATGCAGCCGTAATAAGCCAGCCACGCCCCACATTTCAGAATCTCTGCACCTTCCACGACGATCCCTCCTATACCTCTCACCTTCAACGACATGGAACACGAAGCTGGCGACGAGTACATCAGGCGCACCGCGGAGTTCATCCGGACGCATGAGGCCGGGCTGGCAGCCGCTGCCCCAGTGCGCAGGAGACGGACCAAGGCTCTCCAGCCGTCGGAGGCGTCCGTCTTCAACCCTGTCAGCTGGTTCTCCTCCGATGCCCCCGCGGTGGACAATGCAAAGCCAGTAGTGCTCTCGTTTGATCCACATCATCTCTTCTACCTGTTCATGCGCATGGAGGCTCTGGGCCTCGATCTTGGCTCTTTGGACACCAAAGTCGACAATCCAGCGCGGCCGATGAACTACATCAACATCCCCAACAGAGGAGACAAGTCCGACGCTCTCTCATTCGTGTCCTTCCGTTCTTCGTTCTCCGCCGTCTCTCGCCTCTCGCTGGGCGCAGGGTGGTGGGGCCGGGCTGCCCCACCCAGCGTGGACAGCGAACTCAAGTATATCTACAGCAGCTTCACCAAGGTTCCCGCTGTGGCCATACACGCACCGGAACCGAGGCTCGTAGCGGAGATTGCCAACGAACCGCCTAACGAGAACGCATTGCCGCTCGATGCGTTCAAGAACCTGCAGAGCTTGCAGTGCACGGATATCGACCCGCGGGCACTGCTTGGATGGGATAGGCTGGCGGAGAGTTTGCGCAGTTTGACCATCATGCGCAGTGGACTCGAGGACGTCTCAGACGTCTTTCTTGGCGCGGTACTGGATGACCAGGCCAGGCGAGATGGAAGGATCAGTTCGAGCAGGTCGAGGCGCATCGTGCGTGGCGTGTCGCGGCAGTCGTCGTTCCACAGCACACAGCTACCAGAGACTGTCCCCGAGGGTGACGAGGACGAGGATGGCAATGTGGCGGAACCCCAAGAGCCTGACACACCCAAGCCAAACTCGCCCTTCCCATTAGCCTCTCTCAAGTGGGCATTCTTGCGACATCTGTCGCTCTCGGATAACGCCCTGACCTTCCTCCCGACTACCTTCCTGACCCAGCTCACCTCCCTCACACACCTCGACCTCTCCTCCAACCTCCTTGTGTCCGTCCCTCCTGGCCTGTCCGCGCTCTATAATCTTGTATACCTCAATCTCTCCGACAACATGATCGACTCTGTACTAGGCATATACACTATGCTTGGCGGTATTCTCACACTCAACCTCTCCCGCAACCGACTCGAATCAATATGCGGCTTGGAGCGACTTCTCAACCTCGAGCGTGTCGACCTCCGTCACAACCTCATAGAGGAAAGCGCCGAGGTCGGTCGCCTAGCTACGCTTCCGAACATCGCGGAGGTCTGGGTCGAAGGCAATCCCCTTGGGGAGATCGAGGAGGGCTACCGTATACGCTGCTTCGACTTCTTCTGGAAGGAGAAGAAGACCATCCTGCTGGATGGGTCACCACCGGGATTCTACGAGAAGCGCTACCTCACCTCGCCTCCGCCCGAGCAGATGTCGTCGTCGCGGCCGCTATCTGTCGCCCAGTCTCCTCCGGTTGTGCCTGTGGGCAGCCCATCGAAGATTAATAGCGCCGCTGCCGCTCCCCGCGGAAGTCCTCTTCACTCTTCCCCCGCCGATTCGCCGGCCTCGCATCCGTCGTCTCCACACCTTGCACCCGCAGCGGCAATCGCGCGCGGACGGAAGAAGAAGAACAAACGAATAGTCGACTTGGACGGCGGGCGCGAGGGCAGCGATGCAGGGAGTGCGCGGAGTGCATCGCGCCCGGCGGAGGCTTCGAGGACGGCTAGTCCAGTGAAGCGTGCCACAAGAGCCGAGCAACGGCCTCCATCTGCTATGGCCACCCAGGTTGCGCCGCAACCGAGCCCGATGTCACCGCCGGTGGCACCCTCCGTGAAGCCTACTCCCGTCGTCAAGCCCAAATCGCGACACAGCCGACATATGACAGAGTTCGCGCCCTCGACAAACTCGGAGCTTGCGGAGGGCACGGACGCGTTCGCACCCTCATCGCATGGGTCCCTACGGAAGACAACGACGGTGTCGCGGTCGGCGGCGAGACGTGCACGCGTTTCGGCTTCAGTCTACGAGCCGAGCAAGGAGGACGCGACGGAGAGCCAGTTTCGGGAGGCGGACGCGTTCCGCGCGCGTATCGAGGCCCTTCGGTCGGACATGGGCGAGGGGTGGCTGAAGGTGTTCAACCAATCGCAGCTGGCTTCGCCGCGCGCGGTGCAGCCGCCGTCGTAGCTCTCGCAATCGGGGAGGAGGGCGTGTGCTCTTGGTCCCCTGGGGACTATGTTTACCTGTTTCGTTGATACCACATGCATTCGGATTGTAGTGCTAGAGATATATGTAGGGCCTCTTAATGCGTTCTGATTTGTTTTGCACCTTCGCGTTGCCCAAGTTTGTGAGAGCTTGTGAGCGGGTGCAGAAAACACGCGCGAATTTCCGGGAAATGGTCTGATCACTGCGGTGGCCGGGGTCCGTCCCGAGGACGCCGGCGCTGGCTGGATCGTGTCTAGCGGAGTGACCGTCACGGCTCGCTCGACTCTCCCTCGACGCGCCTTGTGCTCTCTCGTTGACTCTCCCGTTCCTCCCCCACACACCCACCTCCCGTCGTTCATTACCTTCTGCAATCCGTTATCCGCCATGGGTGCCAATCTCTCGAAGGCTCTGGGTGCGTCCGCCACTCCAACCCCCATGCGCGTGTCCCACGGGCCTCGGCCACGGTCGTCAGGCGCCGCCGGGTGCCGTGTGAGCGAGCGCGAATGCTGACGAGTTTGAATGCGCCTGCAGGGAAGATTTTTGGGAACAAGGAGATGCGGCTGTTGATGCTGGGGCTTGACGCTGCGGGCAAGACGAGTGAGTGCTGCATGCTTGGTGTTTGGTAGGAGTGCTGAGACGCGTCGTATCACAAGCTATCCTCTACAAGCTCAAGCTGAACCAGTCTGTCACGACCATTCCGACTGGTGCGTATGCGTCGGGGAGCGATCAGGCGGTTGCAAAACTAATATTATGACATGACGGACAGTCGGGTTTAATGTGGAGACGGTGACATACAAGAATGTCAAGTTCAACGTCTGGGATGTCGGAGGCCAGGACAAGATTCGGCCTCTGTGGCGGCATTACTACACTGGCACCCAGGGTCTCGTGTTCGTCGTCGACAGCCAGGACCGCGAGCGCATAGACGAGGCGAAGCAGGAGCTCCACCGTATATTGAGTGACCGCGAGATGAAGGAGTGTCTCTTGTTGGTGTTTGCGAACAAGCAAGATCTGCCCGGAGGTGCGTTTGAGCTGTATGTCCTGCCAGTAGCAAGCGCTAACTTACCGCGTCTCTAGCCATGTCGCCAGCTGAGGTCACGGAGAAGTTGGGCCTCCACCGCATGCGTGATAGGTCATGGTATGTTCACCCCAGGTACGTCCGATATATCTTCAGACACGCGAAGAACTCTGCTCACGTTACTCTAGTTGCGCGACTACGGGAGAGGGTCTGTTCGAGGGTCTTCAGTGGCTCTCGCAGAACGTGAAGAAACGCCAGGCGTAAACTGGTCGCCCTCCACTTCATACCGGAAAATTGGTTGGGATTCCCCTCTGGTCTGATCTATACCCCGACACGTCTCTGGTGATCTCGACTATATAACGGCCCGCATGACGCACGATCGCTCGCACGACGGACAGCCAGTCCACACGTTTCCCGCTCTCGCCACCCACTCCTGTTAGCTGCCGCTTGCCTTACTTACAGTTTCCTTCTCTCTTCCCTATGTTCATGTGTTACCCCCTTCACCGATGATACACCTATGTACTCGCACTTTAATGGATGGGCCTCCGCCTGCTTCGTGTCCCGGTCAGAACTGCCGTCTTGCGTCTCGCGTCGTTATAGCTGTGCTCAGTCTCACTATCACCTGCCTGTTTTTGCCGTAATTCCATTGGAGGTTGGGGTCGAACGAGCCGCGCCTGGTTCCTGCGTGGTCGCGGGTGCAGTGACTCCGTGTCCAGTGTTTGAACGAGTGTTTGCGATGTTAGTGACAGTTTGAGATGCGGTTACATACAGAGCGGGCGCGGTTTGGCGGCGAGGGCGTTGCTCATGATGACGCCTTCGCCGCGGCCTCCGCTCTTAAGGCTCTCTCAGCATGACCTGCGTAAAGTAATTCCCAGACTCTCCGACTGCCTGCCGTCCGTCCTCGGGAGCTGGCTCTCTCCTTCTCACTGCACACCACCACCATGCAGTCCATAACCGCCGCCTTCAGGGCGAGGCCACTTGCGCGCGCGTTCACGTCCCGACCCGTCAATGGCTTTCTCGGCGCTATCGGCAACACCCCCTTGGTTAGTCCGACCCAACCGGCTATGGACGTCTCTGACTCGTCGCGGTGGGTGTAGATTCGGCTAGAGAAACTCTCGGAGCAAACAGGCTGCAACATTGTCGCGAAGAGCGAACTCCAAAACCCGGGCGGCAGCGTGAAGGACCGCGCCGCACTCGGTGTCGTAACGGATGCGGAGGAGCGAGGTCTGTGAGTGTCAGCGGCCCACTCATGACTTCTGCAGCACTGAAACGTTTCCTACAGCCTGAAGCCAGGAGGCACGGTCGTCGAGGGCACCGCAGGCAACACCGGCATCGGTCTGGCCCACGTCTGCAGAGCGCGGGGCTACCGCTGCGTGATTTTCATGCCGAACACCCAGGTACGCACACGCCGGCTCCGTTTCCCGTAGCCCCCCACCAATGCCCAAGTTCGCGCCGTAGAGCCAGGAAAAGATCGACCTGCTGCGCATGCTGGGCGCGGAGGTATACCCCGTGCCCGCGGTCGCGTACGAGAACCCGGCGAACTACAACCACCAGGCGCGCGACTTCGCGAAGGGCCTCCCGAACGCGATCTGGACGGACCAGTTCGATAACACGGCGAACGCGGAGGCGCACTACCGCACGACGGGCCCGGAGATCTGGGAGCAGACCGGGGGCAAGGTGGATGCGTTTATCTGTGCGACGGGCACGGGAGGGACGCTTGCGGGTATCGGCCGCGCACTGAAGGAGAAGAGCGACGGGAAGACACAGATTTGGTTGGCGGACCCGCCGGGCAGTGTGCTCCAGAGCTACATTAGCAGCGGGGGCAAGTTGACGGAGCGGAGTGGCGGCTCTATCACGGAGGGTGCGTCTTGTGCTTGATGGTGTGTCTTGTAAGGTTCATAAGTGCTAACCGCTGCGCAGGTATCGGCCAGGGACGCATCACGAACAACCTGGGCACCTTTGTGAAGAACGTCGACGGCGCGTTCACCATTCCCGACGAGAAGTCGATCGCGATGCTGTACGAGCTCCTTGACACCGAGGGTCTCTACCTCGGCGCGAGCTCCGCGCTCAACGTCGTCGCTGCCGTAGAACTCGCGAAGAAGCTTGGCCCGGGTACGTGCATTGTTCCGTATGTGACCGAGAGGCATCTCATCATTTGCTGTAGGCAAGACGATTGCGACCATCCTTTGCGATGGTGCGTACCGCTACCAGAGCCGACTCTTCTCAAAGAAGTGGCTGCAGGCGAAGGGCCTCGAGTCGGCGATCCCAGAACACTTGAGGAAGTATGCTGTACTAGATTAAACATGTCTCTCTACGGCATTCGCGGAGCCAGGAGCATGCGCAACCGCAATATAGCGGTTACCTCTGGATTTCAGTGGTCTCGTGTGACTCAGACCACCTTGAAACGTAGACTGAACGGGATTTGCAAGGCAAGTTGACGACTGATGTTTGTTACGCTCTAGGTGAGTGATTTACACCGGGCGCAGACTGCACCAAGGACGCAGTATTTTTTTTCCCTTTCACGATCGCATAGCCACCTAACGAGAGCGTCAGACTCCGAGATTGGGTTGTTATTGGACACGTACTACCACCTCTCGCCAGCTGGCCGATTTCAACACGCTTATTGCATCCGTACAGTGGCCTATAGTGCTTCGTATCACAAGGGGGACTGCTGAAGCGGTTCCTGGGAAGCATCATTCATGCCGCTTCACCTCGAAATGGTAAGAAAAGCAATCTCGCAGTTTCCGATGATGAATGCGTTGCTGATCTGTAGGAACTCCAGACAGCTGAGCGCTGAGCTGCCGTCATATTCAGCTGTGCACTGCGGTGAGGCATATGGGCACAAACGCAAGGGCTACTTCCGGCGGAGGTGTATCCGCAATTGCTCGAGCAGGCATATGCGGTAGTCCCAGCGTGCTACCTTCATTGTACACGGAGGTCGCAGGTCGAAGAACGTATTGGGCCTTGTCGGCCTCCATCTACTCATAATCATAGCACATCTTGATGATGCGCAGGATGTCCGGGATTTTCGCATTGCGGCTGCCATTGAGACTACCGTGGGGTGCATCAACTGATCCCAGGGAGTGAGGGTGTCCGCACCGTTTACGCCCTAGTCCGTCTTGTTCCTCTTCCTACCCTTCCTCGTCCTGACGCTCTCACTCCAGGTCGCATTAACCGTCCTTTCATCTTCCTCAGCTATGACGCTCGCCCGGTGGGGACCTCCGATCGCCTGGTTCTGGACATGGACCTTCACGGCGACGGTCTGGTCAGTGCGGCCAACCACAGCGGCTAACTTCAGCCCTGCCAGTATCCCGCTCGCCGTCCGCTCTCCGTATATGAGTGTCTGGTATAACAACACGAACGGCTCTCTGCCTCTCTCGGAATCCTTACCAATCTTCTGGGGACTGCAGGTACGCCGCATTCGTACATGATCCCATACGCGCATTCTCACCATCAGATAGGAAACCGTGGGGTGGGTAGGCAGGATAAGAGTGGACGGCCGAACATACTCTTGGATGGGCCAGGACGGGTCGGCACCTCTTAGTGCCACCGTCACCGATATGCAGATCACCCCTACGCGTTCTATATTCACCATGCATGCTGGACTCATGAATTTGACAATCACATTCCTTTCTCCCATCGAGGTAATAACCGGTATATATCTTCATCATACCCCGTAACTCATTTGAAACTCAGCCGTCGGACTGGGTCCTACAATCTCTACCATTTTCGTATGTCTCTGTGGATGCGAGCTCCCTCGACGGGCAGAGTCACGATGTACAGCTTTATTCGGACATCACTTCCGGTGGGTCATCTCACAGATCACTTGCGCACAGTGCCCGCCGACGATCATCCATACTGTGTGTCTAGACTGGGCTACGGGCGACAGAGTTCGGGACGTCCAATGGAGTCAACATGCGACCGCAGGCAGTATCTATCACCAAGTTTCGCTGATAGATCTGCAGCCAGGCGAAGAAAATAACCAACAAGCGCAAGATGGCGTAGCGTACTATGGGATGGCAAACGTACGTCGCTCTCGCTCTTGCGGTCAATATCATTGACCTAAATGTGCCTATAGAGGCAAGGACTGACGTGGACGGTCGACAACTCTCTGATCGCTCGAGCGCAATTTCGAAATTTAGGGAAGCTGGCCAACAACGCTAGCACAACCTATGGACCCATGCAACAGTGGGTATCGCGTCGAACTCCCGCACCCACTGCTTGACATAATAACTATGTTTAGGGCTAGCCCGGCGCTTGCTATTGCTGTCGACTTGGGACAGATTCAGTCAACGTCGACCTCCGTGACATGGACTGTCGGCTTTGTACGCGACCCGTCGATTGTATATGCGGCTCCGAACGGTGCCACGGAGCAACTGAGGCCATATTTCGTCACCAGATACGGCTCTGACATCGGGCGCGCCGTAAGTGTTTAACTCTTGCGACTGGTCAGCGAGTATACTTAATCAAAGTCCCCTAGATTGACGACCTCACGTCCGGCTACGCAGACACGCTACAAAGAGCCGTCGCGCTAGAAAAATCCATCATAGCAGATGCGTCAAATGTATCGACGGAGTACAGCGACCTCGTTTCTCTCGCTACATGTCAACCCTTCGGATCCATAGATATCACAGTCTCGTCCGACGCGGACGGCAACCCAAACGCTACCGATGTTAGAATCTTCATGAAGGACATAGGGGGACTCAGTGCGACGCAGCCTGTGACACAGTACGTACACTCTGTTTTTGCTGAAGCAATACCCTCTGATCCCCAGTCGTTGTAGGCGAGTCAGTGCTCCGGAGCGGATATATGCGGCAATGCCCATGTTCCTCTACTTCAATGCGTCTTTCCTCGGGCCACTGATCGCGCCTCTCCTCGACGCTCAAGATAGCCTAACAGGCATGTTGTACGCTGCGCAGGATCTAGGTAGGCTCTTGCCTAGGGCCCTCAATCATTCCGTCGAGCAATCCCTGACTCATGGCAGGGGTGGCATACCCGAAGGCCTCAGGGACGCACGGTGCTCACCTCATGGGCATTGAAGGTACGTTTACAGTGATGAACAGCGGAGTGGTGCACTACTTAAGAAGTTACAGAGTCCGGTAACATGCTAATCATGGCCTATGCGCATGCACGATTGACCGGCGACGGCTCACTGATCCACAATCATGTGAGCACGTACCATTTTGTTCTCTTCAGCGTCATTGTCTGAGATTGTGTATGCAGTACAACCTCACGAAGCGTTGGGCCGACTACCTTGTTGCGAACACCCTGATCCCGGACAACCAGTATGTTTTCCATCTACGGCATCATACCGCTGCGGGTCTGGGGCCTTACTCGTTCTCAGGGACGCCGCGGACGAGAGCGGAGCGAATCAGACGAATCTCGCCCTCAAGGGCGTCATTGGGATAAAAACTATGGCGGAGATCAGCCGTGCGCTGGGCGAGCAGGACGATGCTCAACAGTACGATGTAGGGCATTCATCGTTGTTGAGGGGTCACCCAGCTTACATCGTGTAGGTCCACGCAGCTGCCCTTATGGACGGGTGGCAGGCCCTTTCGCTCTCGACGAACACGACCCCGTATGCACATGCAGAGTACCATGATGGAGACTCTTGGGCACTGCTGTACAACGGCTATGCTGATCGTCTGCTGGGCACCGGCATGTTGAGCCAGTCAGTGAGTTGTGATCATTTCAAATGACCTGAAGTATTATACGTATTACTGACAGCCGTGCAGCTGTTGCAGAACCAGACCGCATGGTACAAGTCCCTCATCAGTGCAGGTGCGTGTAGCGTCTTCGTGTATTGGACCTACGCTCACCTCGGCAAAAGCACTGCCTTATGGAGTAGCGATCGACAGTGAGGTTCAGAATTTTGTCAGTGCTGGTATGTGTAGAGCCGCTACCTGGGCTAGTGTGGACATTGACACTGCGTGCAGCATGGCTGCTGTTCACTGCGGCTACGGCGACGGACAATGATGCACGGGACGGCCTGATCCATGGTGTATGGGCTAGAGCTGGCATGAATCTGGTGGACGGCCCCTTCCCCGAACAGTACGATGCCTGGTCCGGCATGGTACTCCAAGACTCAGGAGGGTGCGTGTGACACGTCTGTTCGAACGCAACGAGTGGATAATGACAGGGTGCCGGTCTGCAGCCCCGCAGTTGGAGCGATATTCTCCCTCCTCGCTCTAAAGTTGGTCAATGATCTCGTTGGCACAACGGTGCAGCTCACTGAGACTTGAGATAATTAGTGTCCCAAACAAGACAATTTCCCTCTCTAGTATTCAAGCCACACCAGCATCCAATACGTCCACACCTGGAAGCCCTCCCGCTAGCGTTGGCCCGGATGGAGGCAATTCGCAGCGGCATACCGTCGCAACGGGTGCCATTGCGGGAGGTGTCGTGGGCGGCCTCGCTTTCCTTGGGCTTGCTGTATTGGGCGCGCTGCTCCTTCGGCGCAGGCAGCAGCGCAGCCGCATCCCGGGGGGAGACGATGGACCTACCATGTCAGAAGATCCGCACCAGCCCACGCCATTCACGCTCGTCCGTCGTCCATTGCTCATGAATATTGCGGACCGATCCAGCGACATGGGCTCTTCCACAAAGTCTCTCACCCCCATTGTGCATATCACATCTCCCGCCGGCCCTTCCTCTCAAGAGCCGTCGGTCATGGTCGACTCGCCTATGACACTCAAACACTCCCTTATTACGAGCGGCACCGGCAATATCGCCGCTAGCTCTGGACAGTCTCCAGGTGGTGCAACGTCACCGGGTACCGAACGGCTTTCCCCAGCGGCGAGCTCTCCTCGGACCGGGATCGCCACGCGCGCGTCGGGCGAGATGGTGCTGCTGCCCAGGTCGGACGTGCTCGGTATGCAGGCAGAGATGGAGGTCTTGCGAGAGGAGATGCGGCAGATTATTGAGGAGAGGCAGGAACCGCCGCCGGAGTATACCAGTACATTTGGATCCTGACTTGGGGATAGGGTGTAGTACTTTACAGATTCTCTCGGGTTCTTTGCTTCATACCAAGAGTGTATTTTGTATGTTGGGTTGCGAGCACTTTCGTTCCCTGTCGGTACTCACATCTAGTTGATAAATTCCATACACACGAAGCAAGTGAGGTCGTAGACACTCCCGGGGTAAGAGAAACTATCATGAAGCGACGGGTTTTAGATACGACTATTACATCTCCTCCCCTTCCTCTTTATCCCCGCGGCCCCGAGGTCGGAGGGCCTTCCTCGACATCGTCCTTGAGGCCGGGTTCAATATCGTGTTCAGGGTCGTAGTCGCTCAACTTCGAGTTCTCTGAGTCGGAGCTCCAGTCATCATAGCGTCCTGTCTTCGCATCAGGTATGATAAGGTGTTTCGACCAGACAGCGCTGAGTCGGGGGAAGCGCACTGTCCGTGTTTCGCCGTCGGGTAGATACGTCTTTGGATGGCAGATCGTCGGCAGATCGGCGTGGCCGAGGTCCAGATGCAAGGATCTCATGACGAGTGTGCTACCAGGACGGTCCTGTAGCCAAAGATTGAGCACGCCAGTCGTAGTGGTTTGTCTGGACCATATATCCACGCATCGGAGAGCCGAAGCCGATGATTCCAGTTCAGATCGAAGGTGATCGGCGTTCCACCAGTCAGGAAGCACGAGATGTTCCAGGAGGGGGCAAGACTCCTGCAAACGTTTGATGTCCTCGATCTCCACTCGGCGTCTGCTAGGTCCAATCCACCGTGACACTGGGCGTGGATCGAGGTGCAGATAGAGGAGATGCGCGCCGTGGGCTGTGATCAGCTCGTGAGGTACTTTGAAAGTACTGAGCGTCGTAAGCCGCTTCAAACGGGGCATTTCCCAGGTCGTAGAGACGTAGGTGACGAGGCGGGCTCGGTTGACGGGCATGCGAAGTTCCTTCAGCTGGGATAGTGACAAGACTGGCAGGGATCCAAGGTAGCCTTCGTCGTCCTCCGCATTTTGCAAGGAGCCAATCCTGAGAGTCTGTAGGCAGGTCGCAGTTGAGAGAAGACCGTGCAGGTGCGCAACTTGCTGTTGTGACAGAGGCATCGCCAGGACAAGCCTTGTGAGCGCCGAGACTCGCCGCTGGAAAGCGACCTGAAATGGCTCGAAGCTGTCGTCGACGAACCACGCTGGATTGAAAGCGCCGCGTGTATCTTTCGGGGGTAGCGTGAGAGTGGGGAATCTCTTCGCCGTCTGGTATTCGAACGTTCGCAGTGCGGTACACAGCGAGAAGATCGACCGTAGAGCGTCGCGTGTTGCGTCCGCGCATGGACCCCGGACGACGTATCCCTCCAATCGGATGCTTTTCACCAGGATGGCAAGGTTCCGGTGCAGTCCCTGGTTGGCGGCAAGTGTGTGGGCGAGTGCGAAGAGCTCCTTCGTCCGACGTAGCACGATGTCTTCGTAGAAGAATTCTCTAGCTGGACCGGACCACCGCTTACAGACCAGGATGAGACCCTTGCGAAGGCGGAGCTCTGCGACCCACGTGCTGTCCATGCTTGGAATGGATCGAGTTGACGGGTTGAGCTCATAATACGGTGCCCTTGCCGACCTGAGAATGATACGGAGTATCTCGTTTGGGAGCTCGTTTAGGCATATAGAAGGAGGGTGTATTGCTGGAGGCATGTACTAGGATCGAGCAAATGAGCGGTCAATATCGGCGCAGACGAGAGGTAAAGCAGAACGCCTCACTCTGGTCTGCTCTAGGAAGTATCGGGAAGCACCTTTGAAAGCAGCTCTCTCTTTGCACAGCGAGGTAATGTCCAGGCTCGCCTCCTATGAATATCAACTACGATTAGCATTGCAGATCGACATTGACCTGATGATGCCTGTGCAAGAGTCAGCTTACGTGCAAGAGTGACTCCATATGTTCCTTCTCCCGTTTCATTCGCTGGCTGAATTGGTTCAGTCGTGCATTATCCTCGCGAAGCCTCGACAACTCTACCGCGATGCTCGACAATGAGCGATCAACGAGCTCATCCAGCACAGGTGACCGCGTGAAAGATTCCGAGTCCCTTTTAGGTTTGTCAACCAAGGGTTTCTTGGACCGCATCCTTTGCAGGAGATTGTCCGTAGGATCGGCAGGTATGTACCTGGGATGGCAGTGGACGGCAAGCGGCCCTCGCATTAGGATTTCGGGTGGGTTCCCTTACCAGGACTCGATTGTGTGGAGCTTTTTGAATGGAAAAAATGCAGCAGCAGCGACATTCACACACTGATGGTGAAACGGTATCATGCTTGCCTTCCACTCTTCACGGTAGCAAGCGGCGTGGGTTCGACTCCCGCTCAGTGTATGTTTTGTCTGTCGCTTTTGCTTACCAGGACTGATAGACACGGGGACTAGTTACACGAGGGAGCATCTTGGTACCCAGTATTATATTCCCCTAGTCATGGCGAGGCGAGACATGATTAGGAGGAATCGTTGTTACTACGCCTATCTACCTCGGTCTCCAGTGTTTGGACCTCCTCCTTCAGCTCCTGGACCTCGGCTTTTCGTTTAGCAACCAGCTCCTCCAAACCCGAGCAGGCGGTTACCGGCACCAGGACGACGTGCTGATCCATCGTGCGTGAGAGAGCAGCCTGAACCCGACCCAGCATGCTCGTCAGCAAACCAAGCTCGTGCAAGAAAGACGACTACATTGACCGACCTTCAAATCCCGCTCCAGGCCCTCCCCGACGCGGTCCCAGTCCTTCCACCACCGTCTCCTCGCGCTATCCCAGCGCGACACGGCCCACCGCACACCCACCGCTGCACCTAACATCCCTACGCCCATCGCGGTTTCCGCGCCCATCCCGACGCTGAATAACCCGCCCGCGAGGCCCAGTTCGCTCGCCCACCCCGCCCAGGCGACGCCGAAGCCCCCAAGGACACTTCCGCTCATCGTGATTACGGCGCGCTGGGCGGAGGCATGCAGACGCTCCGTAGGGAAGCCGAGCTGGCTCTGCCGGGCGTGCAGGGGTGCGGTGAGTGCCGCTGCTGTGAGCGGATATGAGGGCGCAGAGGCTATGCGCTCGAGAGTGTTGTGTAGCACTGGGGAGTGGAAAGGCGAGGAGGGCGGGAAGGACCGGCTGAGTGCCGCGGCGGAGTCTTTAAAAGAGCTCTGTAGCGCGGCTAGGCGTCCCGCGTGGAACACAAGCTGCAATGCGTGTTATGTTAGAAGCTGAAGCTAGCATGGCATGACAGATGGGCCAACCTTTCGTTCGAGGTCTCTACACCACGCCCGGTCGACCGCGGCGGTCACGACTTCGCGGATGTCGTCCACTCTCCAGAATAGCTTGTACCATTGGAGCGCGTCCGTCGTCACTTTGACGCTCTTCCGAGCATGGCCGACCGCCTTCGCGATCTCGTCCCCGTCCTTACCCGGTGGCCCGAACACTTCCAAGTGGACCTTCGCCTTCGCCTCTTCGATTTGTCCGCGCAGACTGCTCGTACCCACGAGCACCGCATCGCCCTCGCGTTCTGCGTGTCCGAGCACACTCCGACAGGTCAGCAGAACGTCCTTAATCAATGCGCGCCCTGTTTGGGCGTGGACCGCGACTACCCGCGAGGATTCCGGCAATGTACTACCGCTTCCTAAAGCGGTGGAGAGGATGTCTTTCGCTGCATTGGTGACGCTGGCGACATTCGAGCCGGTGACGTCATCCTGGTATCGCTGAACGGATATGGGGGAAGCAGAACTATGGCTGAGCTGTTCCAGGCCGTTCAGTGCCCGAGCAGGGTCTACGAAGACGACCCGGAGGTCATCACGAAGTGCGAGAGCCTTGACGTGAGCTGCTTGCGCTGCGGTGATTGAGTGCGTGGGTGAGGGCGAGGAAATGGCAAGGATAGTGTGCTTGCGGGAGATAGGGAGAGGCGGAGATGTCGAGACAGGAAGGATGGACGTCAAGGGAGTGGACGCGGGGTTGCACAGTATGATAGGAACGTCGGCCGTGAAGAGAGCTTTGGCCGTCTCAGGAGCGGATGACGGCCTGTACTCGGCTACTTCTATCGGCACGCCGAAGTGTTGCAGCCATGAGGACTGAACGTGGATGACATCTCCGTCACTTGGCGCGGTGCCATACCTGGGTAGACTGAGCATTCTCGACAAGACCGGAGTGAGAAAGCAAGCTCACTGCAGTCGTACAGAACGGCATCCTTCGGGTTGTGCATCCCAACGCGTTCGAAGGACCTCTTTCTGGTCATTCGAAATGAAGGGGTCCTCAAGCAGAGCAGCTACGAGGTCGCTTGCGCCAGAGAACTCGTCAACGCCGTACACTGCGAAGGTGATGGGAAATTAGCCTATTACACGCACAAACTGTGCTCGTAAGCCTGTAAGAATATGTCGCGTCACTCACCGACGACGCGGACCCTGCCCTTCTCCTTGTCCGTTGAGAGGGACAAGTCCTCGTGCACTTGGCCCAAGACGTCCTCCCAAAATCGCAGCGATTCGCGCTCAGAGCCTCCAGTTGGTCCAGGACGAAAACTAGGCAAGATACGAGGAAGGAGGGCTGTCGTTTTGTGCAAGACCGTCAGAGTGTGCGTCCGCAGATCTTCATGCTTCGCCGGAGTACCAGCCGCGGTGGAGAGCCCAGCTCGTGTAGCACTTGTTCGTGCCCTGCGACAGCCCGAGACCTTGCGCGCCGCGCATTGTACGAGTAAGCGCGAGTGTGAGCTATGAGGATACGCAGAGGAGCGAAGGAGGCCTGAAGAGGCGGCCAGACATGTCGGCATGGATGAGAGTCGCGGTCATAGCGAGACGCGCCGGCCGCAAGCGCTACCCGCTACCCCAGCTTCCACCTCAAGCCTGTCTTCTGAGCACGTACGCACGATGTTCCACAAATCCATTATCTCACCCCGCTATTCCTCGCCATAGTGATGTACAGGTACAAATATTACTATTACGCGCAGACGCGTTGGTACAGTCTATAAATTACTCCTCGCTGACGACGATCTTCGGGGGAGGCGGGCCCGCCCGGCTGCGCGGCTCGTCATCGTCGCTCTCGTCCCCAATATCGAACAGGTCCTCCCGCTCGTCCCACACGTCCGCGATGCGGACAGACTTCTGCGTGCGCGGCGTCCCGCTGGGCTTCGAGCCCGGTGTTCGTGGCGTGGAAGGCTCATAGTGCAACGGAAGCAGCTGCGTTCCGTCCACGTCGGACTCTTCTTCATCGTCGTCTGACATTCCGTCAGTGCCAAGGGGTTGATAGAGACGGGATATCTGATAACAAGAAGTCAGTTCGGCTAGAAAACGATGTACATTTATATTCATACTTCTCTGCGGTGCCTGTAGTATTTCTCGAGGTGGTAGGCAATGTAAAGGCCCAGTGTTGAGCCTAGCAGGTTGGCCTGGAGTTGAACGGAAGGTGAGTGGACATTAGGTGTGCGCGTCAGTGAAGGCACGAACTGCAATGTCCCCCGCTTGGAATTCCTTGTACTATAGATTTATTCAGCACGCGACGCCTGGTGTGAAGTCACATAGGACATACCGGTAGCATGGATTGCACAATTTCGCTAATGATCCCGCCGAAGAAGAAACACACAACCCCAGAGAAAATCAAGGGGGAGTTGCGCCAGAACCATATGCGCCTTGCATCCCTGGAGATCGCATGGAATTGAGGTGGTCGTCTTCGACATTCCAAGTGCGACTTACTCTTCGACATCGAATATGAAGTAGAACACCCCCGTAGCAATCGCCATGCAGAGGAAGTGGAGCAGCTTGTCGTTCAGCGGTAGCGCGTGGGTAAAGTTCGTGAAGCCAAGCAACGCCAAGCTGAGCAGGATGAAGCAGGTGAAGACTACAAACCACTGTGCGGCACCACATGCGTCAAATGGATGCACACCACATGAGAGGGACACTCGTACCGGCCTCAGGCGTACAGGCATGTCATATTTTGGTATGCGGAAGTTGTGCGAGCGCATGATAGACTTGTTTAGCCTGCGGACCGCTTTGCGAGAGCGGCGGGCTGTACGCGTCCATAGCGGATCTGGGGTAGCGTCCGAGTCCGGTAGCCTAGGCATTTGACGAAAAGCTCCAAGAAGACGAGCCCAGACAGGTAACGGATGTGCAGCGAGCTGTCCCAAGTGTGATGATTAGCTCAGAGGGGGGATCCAGAGACGAGGAGGGAGGAGGCGGTGGCCGCGGTGGCGAAGGGCTGCTGATCGGAGCCTTCGGGTTCGGAGACGAGGCTTACGAATGCTTATTGCGTCGATAAGTCTAAATGTGATTGGATTAACGCCGAGCTTATCGCGGCTTATCCGACGCTTAATTAGGCTTATAGCTGGACGACGCGCGCAGCTTGTGATTGTTTACTTGCGTTCCGTGCGGAGGCCCATGAAGGTTCCCTGCAGGGTACCCCTCGAGCATCTCACCTCTCCACTGCCATCTTGAATGATGTGCTCAGATGCGACAGATATCCAGGCCGCGCTGGCTGAGTTCTCAACTTGCGAGATCTCCGACGCGTTGATCAAGCTGGGCTCACCTCACGGCGGACACATCCCGGACATCCACATGCTCTCCCCCGCGGACTCAACGACCCGCCTCTGCGGGCCCGCGTACACGGTACAGATGGTACTGGGGTCAGACACCTCCGCGCCGAAGCTCTCTGCGCACTTCGTGGACACCGCCCCGGAGGGCTCCGTAGTAGTGATCAGCGCGCCACATCGTACAGTGACATTCCCTGTCTGTTCGCTGGAATGTCGCTTATGTTGAACTTGAATGACCGTCCGCGGCCTGTGCAGGTGTGAAGAACGCTGTGTGGGGTGGCTTGATGACCGCAGGCGCGCAGTCTCGCGGCGCGCGCGGGGTCGTCATCTCCGGCCGCTGCAGGGACCTTGCTGAGCACCGGGCAGTGGATTTCCCCGTGTTCGCGAGGGGCCATTCGACGCTCGGCCAGTCGCCCTTCACGCGCCCGTCGGCGGTGAATGTTGCTGTCACCATAGATTCTCCCGACGTCTCGCAGGAGGATTTTCCGGCGGTCGAGGTGAATCCCGGAGACTGGATGGTCGCCGACGAGGACGGCGTCGTCTGCATTCCCCAGGAGCTGGCGTTAAACGTGATCGGTTTGGCCAGGAAAGGGAGGGAAGTCGATGAGCGGTGCATGACTGATATAAAGGCGGGCAAGGGCGTCCAGGAGACATTCAAGAAGCACCGAGGAAAGTAAATATCATTTGTTACGCCATTGTATCAACCGTTCCTGCCGGAGAACATGACATGTGTATAGTAGAACGAACAAAACTACAAACTCGACATCACACCGTGACAAAGCCACTTTATGGGGTATATTCCGGCAGTGACTCTCTGTCTCTCTGCAGGTCCTGCATGACACGTCGCAAGTGTTCTATCTCTGCTTGCAGCCCAATCATCGCACTAGCAGGAACTCTACCACATACGCGCGCGTCGGGGTGTATACCAGCGGCCGGCTCCCTACTCGTGAAGCCGGGCTGGGGCGAGGGCTGGGAGGGTTCAGTCCCAGCAGAGCGTTTTCCCCATCTCCTGTCATTGGGAACCACCTCGGTCTCCAAAGATGGCGGGAGGATCAAGCTATCAGGTCCAATCACCTCTAAGGACTCCGACACGGACACGGCTGAACTGCTCGCCATGCTCGAGGGTCTCCTCGAGGACTGGGGGGTCGTGACGAAATGATGTAGCACCGAATGCCTTGACGAAGATGTGTTTGCCTGTACCCGGTGGAGGTTATGACGATGACAACGGCGGCGAACCAGCCACACGGTTAGAGCGCTGAATACGAGTGTTGCAAGACCTGCAGCAATGCTGCCAGCGATGACCGCTCCGGGCGTCTTACGTTTGACCCCGTCCGAGTTCGCAGCCCCGTTCACTGGCAAGATGGGAGGCGCGAGGATGGTGACGTTGGGAACACTTGGGAGATGGATGCTCAGCCCGCTGTGCATATACTCCCAGTAGCAACGCTCACTCACTTTAGAGCCAGCAGCGAGAACATTGCCCCGAAAGAAGGCCTGCGTTATTGCTGCATCAGTACGCTAGACAGTACACCGCATGAAAGCCAGTCTGTGACTACATGAGGAGCGTGAACAGAGCTCACCCTGCATTGGCGTTCGGACTTCCTTGTATAGCCCCAGTCACGATGTCGTACGTGTCCGGAAACGGACCCGTTGTCTGGTTGAAAGACGCTCGGGCCCATACACTGTTGACGAGACCGTCGCGCACGTCGTCGTCTAGCACGGTGCCAGCGGTGAAGAGGAGCCATGCTACACGAAATCATCAGTTCGTCTACGTTTTATACCGTGCGATTGCTCCCACATACCTACATTGGAAACGTTGCCCGCATCGCTATCCAGGGGTAGACCGAACTGAGGAGCTGCTGCAGTGTTAATGATGGTGTAGAAAGCACGCGCGAATGAGTCTCTTACACGAGCCGAGGAGGGTCTTATAATAGGCTGTTTGGCTTTGTAGTACCTATGCAGTTGTAAGATTTGAGAAGACGGAGTTAGGCGCATTGCGTACTGACCGTTTGCTCCACGACCCCAGTCTGAAGGAGTCGGTCCGCATAGAGATTGTACATAAGAGCCCATGATTGCTCATCGTCATAGGACCCGAGGAGACGGTCCCCACTCGAGGACATCGCGAGAGATACCCACGAAGCTGCAAGAGAAGCAGCATAGTTCTAATAGGCAAAACGGTGAGTAGACGTAGAGGCTGGCCAAGCAATGTCTCACATTGTAGAGTTGTGCATCGTACTTTTGGCCCAGTGCTTGGCTTATCTCCGCCATTGCCTTAACGCCGATTATTCCTTTGAGGGCAAGGTTCGTCATGTTGGCAGGATTTTGTATTTCCGTGTCCGCGGAAGACCTAAGAGCATACAGAGTTCGCTTCGAAGTCGTAAGTGAACGCATTGTAGGACATACTGGTCAGATAAGTTTAAGGTGTGGTTCACGAGGTAGTTCGTCCAACGCTTCGCAAGATCATACTACAGTATATAAGCATGAAGCTGAGATGTGAGAGAATGAAACGCTCACATGTCTGTGTATCAGCCATCAGCAAAAGCGCAGGCCACATGCATGGCGACGCATAGTGCCACGAGGTATGCAGAGGGCCGTAGGCGCCTAGCCGCACCAGACGAGCGGCAGGCAGGCGCCTGCAGAACGCTGTGGAGCGAAGTCCCGGACACAAGGACCCAGTCGCGATTCGCGTCGCGCCGCGAAGTCGCTACAGAGGCATATCGTACATCGCCGAGTGCGGCGAGCCTATTGCGGAGCCATACGTAGCGTCAGTGGGTCATGTAAAGCTCCCTAGTCCACAGTCTATAGCTAGCACAACCCCAACTTCACCCGCTACCATAAACCTCACATTGACTGTGTACAGGCCATCCGCACCGGGCGCAGACATTCTCGCGAGCTCACAGCAGGTGCACGAGATGCACGGACTTCAGCGCGAGATCACCAAAGCGCTGTTTTATACGGCGCGGAGTCATTCGTGGCATAAGTACACATTATCAAGGTACACAAGTCAGACTGCTCCATCTCTTCCCACAGAAGCCCGAGGTTGTCGCCGTCATAGCCATCGGCGTCTCGAGCACGAACTCACCCTAATCGCCCTTTTCCTGGGAGTTCATCATCCCACCGGTGCACGAGTTCTTCTTCGTCGACATTCACCGCAGAGATCTCACCGCTCTGCTTATCTCCGCCGTTGATGTGTGCACTGTCGGGTGCGTCGTAGTTGGCCGCATCCAAGGCTGGCAGTAGAGGGCATGAGTTCCAGTTTTGCCAGGAGTCGCCACGAGATACAGAGAAGGGGGCAAGCAGAGTGGGAGCAAGAGGCGAAGGAATAAGCGCCCACTGAATCGGGCGGAGGCGTCGCGTCACGTCGGCGATCGCGCCCCAAGTCCAATGACGTATGCGCGATCCTTGACGCGTCCTGAACTTGCGTCGCCTTCTTTCCACCATGAGCGCGTTCCTTTAAAGTCTGGGCGCACACGTATCTCCCCCCGTTCGTCTCTTCCCCCTCTACCACCACCATCCTGCGCCGCGGCAGGAGGACGTCGATTCGACGTCAACGCTAGCAAGAATGTGAGTGCCGATCACGATGCATACATGCACTTGAACGGCCACACTGGCGCTGACGCAGGTGAGTCGCATACTCAGGCCACTCAGATCTCTCTCTCTCTCTCGCTCGCTGTCGGATTTCCTGGGGCCGAATGATCTCTCGTGGAATCTCGGTGCTTAGTCTTACTCAGGCAGACTTACCGGTCTCACTAGCTCTGTTCTCTCTGGCACTTTCTCGCCGGTACCATTCTCTCTGGCACCGTTCTCCCTGTCGGTCTGCTCTGCTATGGTGCTGCTCTGGCCTCTAGTATCTGATATACTTCTGCGACTGCAACCTTTGGGGGACTCTTCGGCTTTCTTCTCGTCTCGGGTCCGGATTCTGGATGGTTGTGTATGTGATGTATTTCCACGTGTAGATATAGCCCCACGCAATCACTGTGCGCGATGCTCAATAAATTTCAATGTTTTCTCGCACAATTGTCTTGCTTTTTGAGTGCCCATACGATGATTTTGGGCGATATGTTTTTGGCTATGGGACTGTCCCTCTGCATGGCGCCGTAGAGCCCTGCATAATGGCGACCGAGGGTCTGCGGAGCTCTGCAGAGCCACGCCCTGTGTCTGACAGCGTACCGCGAAAGTCTTACAGCGTGCCGCCCAGTTCCAGTAGGGTCCGTGGCCTGCATGCAGAAGATAGTAGGTCGACACTTGTTCCACAGGGCACTACGCTTACTGCAGAGCGCTGTGGTGCCGTACATTACAGTCACGCACTTTGCTGATGGCGTTCCGTCCAGTGTGTTCAGTTGGCGAGGGTGCAACCAGACACGTCTATGAGACGAAGGCCTGGTTGCAACCGCTTCCCGCAAAGCCAAACAATAATTAAATGCCCAGAGGCAGCATTGAACCAGTGATCTCCCGACAACAGGAGACACACTAGTCCACTACGCCATTAGGCCTTACAACTCTGCCTTTGGCTTTGGCCTGTGTGCTACATTAAGGTTCGGCTTAGGGTTAGGGATTAGGGTTAGGCAGCCCAATATAGGGACCTTCCCCCTCCCCTGAGAGGAGCCGGTCTGTAGAAATAGCGAGAACGAAGCTTTAGAGTGCCTGCCTGAAGGCTCCCGGTTCGGGGGACCCCCCGAGCGCAGCGAGGGAGGGGAGGGAGCCTGAATGGCAGGTCTTCTTCTCGCCGAAAAAGACCCAATCTATCGCAATGATTCTGTTGGCCATATAAGCCTCTATGGTGCAGTGGTTTACGCTGCCGCCCTGTAGTCCTCTATGGTTGGAAGTGCGGTTCAATTCCCGGTAGGGGCATTGTTTGTCAGACACATTAGAGATATGTATTTTGTAAATAGTGCCAGTTGATCGGTTGCAACCAGGCCTTCGTCTCATATACGTGTCTGGTTGCACCCTCGCCAACTGAAGTCCCTCCTTCCGTCGCCGGAGAAGCGCGCATGGGCGTAGATCATGATGAGCATGTTACCAGTCTCTGAACCCTAATGAATGATACATCCACATAGAAGATTCAGGAGAACATACGTTCAACACCTTTGTTGTGACCGCCGCGAGTACCCGTAGCGTTGGGGTATGCTAGACCTGGAACCACGAGTGTTAGTTAGTCAGTACCACTGCGAAGCGAGCATTTATGATGCTAACCTATGTCTTGCGCCGCGTACAATTCCTCCATGGAAGCATCCTGCGCGTCCAAGAGAGGGGACAGGAGGGGTCCTATGAGAGAAGCGTTGAGATAAAGCAACATAGGCAGGGCAGCGTATATCTTTTCTACAGGGTTGACCCGCCTGCCCACTGTATCAGTGCGACTTGTAGCAGAGCGTGAGGCGCAGGAGCGTACCCTGTCAGCGTAGAACTACCAACATCCTTCATAAAGATACGGACATCGGAGGAGTTAGGTTTTCCGTCGGTTCCTGTTGAGACGGTGATGTCCAAAGACCCCAATGTTTGTCGCGCAGCGAGAGACACTAGGTCTGCATACCGCGGCGAGATTTTCAATGCATCTCCGGCAATGGCATTGTCTAGCGCGATTGCTTTCCGTTGTATATCCGGGAAGCTCGAGATGAAGTCTTCGATCTGCGTCGTTTTGTGAGGTAGGCGTTTCGTATGGAAAACACTGTCAAACCTACCGCTTGACTCATGTTGACCTCGGGATAGCGAGTAGTGTAGTACGGCATGAGGTCTTGTATCGTCCCGTCAGGAGCCGTGTATGCTATAGAGGGATTTCGAACATAACCGACAGCCCAAGTCACAGGGATCGATATGCTTTGAATCTGGCCCAAGTCTACGGCGATTGCAAACACGGCCACATCACTGAACAAAGCATTGTGCCTGTCAGACACAGGGGCAATGGTGGGATGGCGAGAACGATCAACGTACTCCCTAATTTCCCGGAACACCATGCTAAGGGAGTCATTCAGGGCGCCCGTGTCGTGAAAGAGGCCGTGACAAGCACCGTCACCGTGTCCGAGTTGCCAGGTGAGGCCCGGTCTCTAGAAGTAATTGTCTAATCAGGCAAGGGTCGCCTCCTGGATTGCTGGACGCACGAAAGCCATGGCAATATACGCTTCGCCGTCTTGCGCCTGCTGGTTGATCTCGACATACTTTTGTGGTGATTGGAGCTGAACGTTATGGATCACGGTGTTTAACTTGCCACCGGTTGAGTATTCCATCCACTGGATAGTGCTGTCATAGTCGCGTGATAGCCATCCTATGTGCGTGCAGCCTGAGTATCACCGACGAACGCTATGCTATCTTTCCACAGGAACGTACCTCCGGCGATCTCGGAATATACCTGCACATCATGAGGATCACCGTCCGTGGAGATGGCTTCGACGGACACAAAAAAAAAGGGAAAGATTGAAGAGTCCAATCGGACAGCTGCTGATATAATTAACTCTAACTATGATATACCGGTAGCTGATGTCTCATACCTCGATTGGTGATAAATAGATTATGGTGACGTTCATGGGGCCTGCTTGCATGATGAAGATTGTGCGTGTTGAAGTGATTTGGACACTCGTGATGTTTGCGCTGGACGCTCCTACCGAGGGATGGTCTACACCGGTCCAGATGTATGTCTGACCATCTACCCTTATACTCCCTTGCAAATCTATAACGTTCTGTGAATTATCAGGCTTAGCAGGCGCATCGTTCTGCAATGCTGAACGCACCTGTCGACCCCAGAATAAGGGCCAAGAATTGGACAGCGACGGAGAATTATTGGAGTCGTTGTACCATATGCTCATGTAGGGTGATCGAATGGCGAGTGGAATGCTAGCGGGAAAGAAAGTTTGAGGAGGAGGTTGACACCACACAACTGTCGCAAAGACGACGGCAAGTGCGAGAAGCTTTAGGTGAAAGAAGGGCATGATAAAGTAGTCGCAGAGATTGGCGTAGGCAGAGGAATGCCGGGCTATGGCGGTGTGACAGGCCTTGTACATAAGAACCTGCCGACTGTTTGGAACGTTCCGCGCCGTTATTTGTGATTCTGACAATGTGAAGCTCTCAACTAATGCCCATGCGCGGCATATCGCAGATGTGACACAGCCTGAGACGCACCTGTGTAGCGTTGACAGGAAGTGCTGCCAGAAATGGCATCTCGATCTTCATAGTCGTTCAGTTTCATGATGTTGCAATGTAGCCTCGCTATAGAAAGGACCGAGGAGAAGATGCTACAGTGTCTGCCGACCGTAAGAGCAACAACCGTGTCGGAGCAGGCGTAGGCCGCCGTCCATGGATACGTTCAGAGGCATGAAATGATGGCAAGTGGCGCGGACTGCACGTGGCACCATCACCCAAGCCGAGACGTCCGAGTCGAGAAGCACCAAGCAACTTGAAAGTCACCAAACTCATATGCCGACCTTGCTACGGCCCTATTGCACCAATTTGCACCAATTCTTCCTTGCGGAAAACGTGGCGTACACATGAAGTTGTAAGATAGACGATTGCGCAGGCGGCTCATAGTAAGTACTTCATGAAATAAGCTATGCACCCAGCCCAACGATTTCGTGGCTGTCCCTCACCTGCTGTACTGGGGTGGCAACTCTGTCTCTCTCTGCATGTCCAGCATAACCCACCGCAATTGCTCCATCTCTGCTCGCAGCCCAAAAATCGCATTCGGCAGCATCATGCCATTCCTCCGTGGGCCCGCCGGTGTTGGAGGTGGCCCAGGAGGAACCACGTTTGTGGAACCGGATCGAGGCAGGCGACGCAACGATGTAGCTCTGACAGGATGCTTGCGTTCTCTTCTGTTCTGCGCAACAGCAACACTCGCGGCGGATGATGGAACCAACGAGCTGTCGGAGCTGATGACCTCCAAGGACTCTGAGACGGAGACGTGTGAGGAGCTGCTCGTCGTGCTTGAAGGCCGCCTTTCGGGATGAGGGGTCCTGGCGATGAAGTATGGCGCCAAGTGCCCTGGGGGAGGCGTTTCTGCCTTCTGGCGCGCCAGGACAAGGTTATGGCGATGGCGCTGGCGTTGGATAAACCACACGCCTAGGCCGACGATTACCAGGGATGTGACACCTGCGGCAACGGCAATGGACACCTTGCGTCCGCCATTCCCTGAGTGCGCGCGCTCGTTCAAGATAGAAGGTGCGGCAATGGTCACGTTGGGAACACTGCAGAGGATGCTGAGTTCGCTGCTTACATCCTCCTAGGCAATCAGACACTCACTTCAGGGCCAGCAACGAGCACATTGCCCCGAAAGAGGATCTGCGTTGTTATCGCATCAGCAAGCCAGACCCGTGCACTGCACGAAGCAAGACTGCGCGGGAAATGAGAAGCGAACTCACCCTGCATTGGCGTTCGGGCCTCCCTGTATAGCCCCCGTTGCGGAGTCGTAGGCGTCCGGGAATGGTCCCGTTGTCTGATTGAAAGACGCTCGGGTCCACACGCCGTTGATGAGCCCGTCGCGCACGTCATCGTCTAGTACTGTGCCAGCGGTGAAGAGGAGCCATGCTGGTCGGGAGCTTTCAGCTCGGGGCCGCGCCGCATTGCCAAGCTTCTGAGTACGTACCAGCGTTGGATATTCCACTCGCATTACTGGCGATCGGTAGGCCGAACTTGGGGGCTGCTGCGACGTAAGAGAATGTGTGGTGTGCAGCACGCGAGCCCCTTACTTACATGAATTAAGGAGAGTCTTGTAGAACACCGTCTGGCTTTGTAATATCTGTGCACTTGTGAGAGACGTTACGAGTTGTAGACAGATGTTGCATGCTTGCCGTTTGGTTCACGATGCCGGTATCGAGAAGCCGATCCGCGTAAATGTTATACATGAGGGCCCATGTCTGCTCATTGCCATAGACCCCGAGGAGATGCGTCCCAACTGAGGACAATGCGAGCGACTCCCAAGAGGCCGCGAGTGCAGTAGCGTGACCCTATCGATTGGATTGTGAGCGACCGCTGAAGATGAATATTTTGGTGCTCACATCGTATAGTTTGGCGTCGTCCTGCTGACCCAGTGCCCGGCTAATTTCTGACATTGCCTTGACGCCAATTAGGCCTTTGAGGGTGAGGTTCGTCATATTGGCACTGTTTTGTATCTCCGTGTCCGCGGATAACCTGCGAGCAGTCAAATCTCAGTTCAGGCCGGGAGACAAGGAATGGATAGACGTACTGGTCAGACGGTCTCAAGGAGTTGTTCACGAGGTAGTTCGTCCAACGCTTCGCGAGATCGTACTGCAGGATACCATGAGTATACCTAGTAGACGCAGAGAACAACGCGCTCACGTGTTTGTGAATTAGCGTGCTGTCGCCAGAGAACCGCGCGTGGGCGTAGAGCATGATGAGCATGTTTCCCGTTTCTGCAGCATAGTGAGCAATGTGCGTAGATGGAAAGGCCACGAAGACGTACATTCGACACCTTGATTGTGAGCTCCACGGGTACCAGTCGCTTTGGGATACGCCAGGTCTTCAAAGACAAATTTCAGTTGCGGGGTTGGAGAGACCGATGATGATTCTAACCTATGTCCTGCGCTGTGTACGGCTCTCCCGCTGAGCCGTCTTGAGCATCTAGGAGAGGGGAAAGCAAGGGTCCTACGAGAGACGCATTGAGGTATAGGAGCATAGGCAGCGCGGCATATATCTTCTCTACAGGATTGACGCGTCTGGGCATTTTGTCAGCGCAGCATTGAGCCTAGGTGAGCTGAAAGCGCGTACCCTGTCGATGTAGAGCTCGCAATATCCTTCATGAAGATGCGCATGTCGGAGGCATTCGGTTTTCCGTCGGTCCTGGTCGATACGGTAATATCCAAGGAGCCAAACGTTTGACGAGCTGCAAGGGATACCAGGTCCGCGTACTGCCCCGAGATCCTTGACGCATCCCTTAAGATTGCGTTGTCCAGCGCGATCGCTTTCTGTTGTATGTCTGGAAAGGCGGAGGCAAAGTCGTCGATCTGCGTCGCTCTATCAGGCCGGGGCTACCGGTACACAACTCTACAGCACCTACCGCTACACTAATGTTAACCCCGGGATAGCGCGTAGTATAGTACGGCATGAGGTCTTGCGTCGTTCCGACCGGGGCGGTATACCCTATGGATGGATTCCGAACGTAGCCGACAGCCCAAGTCACAGGGGTCGATATACTTTGGATTTTACCCAGGTCTACGGCGATTGCGAAAACAGGCACATCCCTAGATGATTCCGCTCAGATGTGATGTAAAAACGATGAAAAAGGACGTACAGGTCTATTTTCCGGAACGCCAGGCTGCGGGAACCGTTCAGAGCGCCCGTGTCATGGAACAGACCGCGACATGTAATGTCGCGCGCGATCTGCCAGGTGAGGCCAGGTCTCTAGGGGTGGCCTTCAGATGAGACCAGGTTGCATAGATGCTGGCGGTTTTGACTTACAGAGGTCATGGCAAAATATGCCTGGCCATCTTGCACCTGCTGGTTGATCTCCACGTACTTCTGCGGCGACTGAAGCTGAACATTGTGGATCACCGTGTTGGCAGTGGCATACTCGATCCATTGGATGGTGCTGTCCTGGTCGCCCGACAACCATCCTATGCGCAGTGTTAGTAGAGACGAGGAGCTCTTTCTACGAGAGCGTACCTCCAGAGATCTCAGAGTACACTTGCACTTCATGAGCATGGCCGTCCATCGAGGTAGTCTCGACCAACACGTAAGAAAATGGGAAAGACTGCACTACCCAGTCAGACGGCTGGTGAAATGATTAGATGCAGTAGGCGGGGGTAGAAATATCCCACACCTCGATGGGTGATAGATAGGTTACAGTGACGTTCATGGGGCCTGCCTGAACGACGAATATCGTGCGCGTCGGAGTGATTCGGACGGTTGTGATGTTTGCGCTGAGCGCTCCCACCGAAGGACGGTCCACGCCTGTCCAAATGTATGTCTGGCCGTCCACTCTTATACTACCTTAGAGGTCTATAACGCCCTGTGAGGTTTAAGACGGAGAAACTCCCTTGTTGCGTACTGCCAATCATACCTGTCGTCCCCAAAATAATGGCCACGAATTGGATAGCGATGGAGAACCGCTGGCACTATCGTGCCATATGCTCATATACGGTGAGCGAATGGTGAGAGGAATGCTAGCCGGGAAGAAGGCTTGCGCCAGAAGTTGTGCCAAAACGATCGTCGCAAAGGCGACGAGAAGAATGAGAAACATCAGCAAAACTGCGCGAGCCCTGCATCCCAGTGAGAATCGACAATATTAAGATCTATTGCGAGCTATTGCCATCAATTACACGTTATTTGCATGTATTTCAATATATTCACCGCCCGTTTCGGGAGCCTTTTCCATTCGTTTCACTTCACATCTGTCTCTGCAGACTGCTTTCATGTCAATTCGACCCCTTCTATGTCAACTTTTTCACCGGCCATTTTGTCGACTCCCGCAATAAAAATCCGCGCCTGGCACATTTCTGCCATGATGTCATCGGACTTCGCGAAATTCGCTGTGATTGCTTTCGAAAACGCTCTCCCCGCGCCGCGCACATCCCGGGCCTCGTGCACTCTTTGCTTCCTCCGCTGATGTCCTCTGCGCTGGCAGTCTCTTCTCGTCCTCTTCCCGCTCTCCCTGGCTTGTGACCTTTCCCCTCCCTCGCAAACTGACCTACTGATCTACTGACGTACTGACGTACTGACGTACTGACGTACTGACCTACTGACTTACTGACCGCTAACCTACTAATCCACTGACCACATACTAATCTACTAACTATACCACTTAGAATTCCATATTAGGCCCGGTCTCGCGGCAAGATCAACCGCGCGTACACGCAGTCGCGCCGACCCGGCGTCAGTCTACGGTGGGGGCCCCACGCGGCGCAATGCGCACAGCAGAAGGTGCGTGGCTACTTCGGCGGGCGAGCGGGCGGGCGGGTGAGCGGGCGGGCGAGCGTGCGGGCGAGCGGGCGGGCGGGAGGCGCACGCGCTGGGGGGCGGGTTCGCTGGGCTGGGGGGCGGACGGGCGGGTTCGAGAAACGGAGGAGATCGGGAGGGGGCGGGCGGGATGTTTCGGGAAGCAGCTTGTCGCTCGGGGCTTTGTATATTGTAGTCTATTAAATACTATTTGATTTGCGCGCAATCGTCTGGAATAGAGCGCAATAGCTGCTCATAGAGTGCAATAGAAAGCCATCTATTGTTTCGGCACTTTTTCTATTGCGAGAGATTACAATCTATTAAATTTGGCGGGGCGGAAAACAATAGCTCGCAATAGATTTTAATATTGTCGATTCTCACTGGGCCTGCATAGGCATGCAGGCGCCGGCAGGGTCTGCATACCATATCCCTCATGTTGGCCGGTTGCAAGGGTTTGCATACCATCTTTGCCGCCTGCTGATAGCCTTCAGAAGTGAAAAGAGGTTGCCAGATATGTATACTCTAGCCACCCATGATAGCTATATGCAGGCGACTACAGAAGCAATAGAAATCAGTGTTTAAGTCCTAGCAAACTAGCCCGCCACAAAGCGAGGTGGCCCTCGGGACGATGTGCATAGCTCGCAAAATGTACTACTACAACGGCGCGAACCCTTCGCCATCATACTCGTCGCCCCAGAAGCCCTCAACGTCCGCCATGAGCCGGTGTTCCAGCTCACCCCTCTCGTCCTCCTCGTCACTATTCTCCGCCTCGACAACGTCCGCCGCGCCATTGTCTTCGTCGTCGTCGTCCTCATCGTCACTCGGGAGCTCGTCGCCGCTCGCATCCGCTTCAGCATCCTCGTCTTCCTTGTCGTCTTCCCCGAGAGGCCCCCGAGCCCGGCCATTCATCTCAGGGACCAGCCGGAGAAGTTCTTCCTCGGTAGACACTTCTGCGGGAACGGGATCGTCGATTGTCTTGACAGAGTCTAGCTGCTCTTCATCGGCGCCCATAGCGAGCTCCTCTTGAGTAGGGGCATCCTCGTCGTCTGAATCATCATCGCTGATGGTGACCTGGTTGTGACAGTGAAGGGCGGCGTGGCCGATGCCGCCGCCGTGGTAGCGTACGAACATGTCCCGGTCTGCAAAGCTACAAAGTGATCGAAGTTAGCATATCATACAGGACAAGCACTGGTCAGAGCACGTACATGTTGGCATAGTAATACCGGAAGTCACTATCCACATCGGCCGCTTGAAGATCGGAGTACTCCGGGCCTACACGAGCGGCCGCGGACGGCCCAAGAAGGTCCTTGGTGCGCTTGCATGCGAACACCGGGATGAGGTGTGCACCGCGGAGGACATCTTGCGGATTGACGAAGCCGAATGCGGGATCGCTGCCGTCCGTGTCCTTGGTGAATTCGACGCGAGGATAGCGCTTGGCCTTGAAGCCTCCCGGTGCCAGAGCGTCCAATGAGAGCCAGCGTACCCAGAGAACGTCCACGCGAATGAGAGGCCCCCCAGCAGACGTCAGGGGATGGACGTTGATGTGGAAGATGTCGATGACACGTGCGTAGAGGAAGGGATGGTCGTCCAACTCGGAGGTGGCATTAGAGCCGTCCGTGCTCGATTCGGCGTCGGAAGAGTCGCTTGGGGGGGAGAGGAGCATGATGTGTGGATGAGTCCGCGGGTTCACCGAGTCCTGTGCTCGCCGGACGTCGTACGTCGTGTAGTTCACCCGGAACACGCGGTGATGATACAGACGGTTGCCGGCAATGTACACAGATGGCGGTGTGTGGTCGGGGTCATCCGCGTGATCGTCCAGACGCGAGAGGAGATGGGCTTGAAGGCGAGGAACGAAATCCTGAGATAGAGCGCGTTAGAGCGAGCGCAACGAGTACGACTCAGGCCACGTACCTTGAACGCCGGATCGTCCGCGTGCTCCGTGGCCCAGGCCGTAATCTCATGGCCGTCGCACTGAGACTTGGCAATATGGTACCGGTCCCACGGACTGGCGTACGCCATGTCGTCAGTGTCCGCACCAGGTGCACCGCCCTTGTCAACAACAGGCTCCTTCTGGACGGCGCTGTCTCCCTGCTCTGCAGCCGCGGCCAACGCCTTCTCCTGCGCCCGATGGGCATCGACGCGCACCTTGATTATGCGGAGCTTCTCAGCGCGCCGGGTGTGCTGCGCGATTTGATATTCGTACTTGTGCTTGTTGGTGCGCGCGTAGAAGTGTTTGACGTGTCGATGTTCGAGCTCTCCCTGTCCGACAGGCGTCAGTAATGTATCAAAACCAAGTACATTTGTTTGGTACTCACCGTCTGCGAGGACCAGATGTCGGAGGTTGCATGTGCGCGGATGGTCGCAGGATAGTCGCGGAGCGCGTGGAATTTGTACGTGTTCATGTTGAACACGCGTCGCCGCCGCACGTCAACCTGCTTGCCGACCGTAACCTTTCCCGTCTTCTTGGACAATGCCGCCTTCCGTCGTCCCCGCGCGGCGGCCTCCTTCGGTAGGTCGATGGTAACGTACTTGGCGCAGGTCACTCTGGCAAATCGGCGGGTGTCCTTGCCGACCTCAATCGCGCGTGTGTCGAGGTCAGCAACCTGGGGGTCAGTTATGGCTCGTAGCTTTGCCAAGCAGTGCCAGAAATTCAAGTCAAATATCAGGTCAAGCACGATAGTGTTGTCCTCGTGCTCGAGAAGTGCCTCCACAGCTGGTATTGAAGTCTGCAACACAGTGATAAGCAGGGGCGTGTGTATCCTCATCATCTGCACTCACACGCAGGCTGTTCTCAAAATCGCGTCCAGCCAACTTGCGCTGATCTGCGATGTTGTCAGAGAAGCGACGGATGCGGCCGAATGTCGGAATTTGGCGAAATCTAGAGTAAGATAATGTCAGTGCGAGTAGTCAGGTGTTCACGGTACTAGAACTCGCCGCCGGTTGAGTTCCTGGATTGCGTCGCCTCCGGCGGCGTACAAAATCCGAAGGATATGCGTGAATATTGATTTCCAAACACCGAGCTCGATTTCATGCAGGAGATCGGGCACGTAAAGCGAGCAGAAGTTGAAGCCGTATTGGCGGAAGCGGACCGAGAAGGCATTCTGTTACCAGAATGGTCAGCAGGAACCAAAGGAGTGCATGTGGGGACGTACACGAGTGGGAGTCAGTGAGAGCGGGTCCAGGACGCGCTTCATATACACGCTCTTGAGAGAGACACCCTCCTCGAACATCCATCGCCGTGTCAGTGTGATGCGGTACTGTAGGTCATCGTTGTCGACGCGGAGGTGGTTACGCCGGTACAGGTCGTTCCGGGTGCCCATCTCGAGAATCTTGTCCTTGTTGATCTTGCACTGTGGACACGGACACTTTGCGAAGTACTTCAAGCATGCCTGAAGTATCCTTAAGGCATAGATTAGCATGGTGAATGTAGTTGAGAGCGAAAACATGCAGACTTACTTCTCCGGGTAGTCAGCCGAGTGGATATTGAAACAAGGGAACAAGCGGCGTAGAATCGCGTCGCCACAAAGAACGAGCAGTCCATGCACATAGCAGTACATGAACGCATCGTCGAGTAGCAGGAGCCAGACCTCTTGCATGAGCTCGCGCTTGAGAAAGGTGAGTATCTCCCCCGTCGCTGGAACACCGTAAATTTCTATATATATGTCTTGAATAATTTTCGGGAGCTGTCCGGTGCAGGTTAATATATGGCACACTCTCACAGGGCAACGGTGGAAGGGACTCACCGACGGTATGTATGCGATGTGGTGCGCAGCAAAGGCGGTTGGCTTCCCTCGGGTGTACTTGCTCTGCGAGCAGAAGTACTCGTAGAGCGGCCAGAGCGATGCGGTTCCGAAGTTTGCGAGATGTGTTTCGTCGGACCAGAAGGAGATGGCGGCGATGACGTACTCGAGGTCAGCCGGGTCTCCCGCTTCGCGTGGTCGCGCACGCATTGCTGCGTCATCCTCAAGCATAGCGTCGGAGTCGAAGGTTTCTCTGCGTACGCGCACACCTTCCGGCCGGGTTGCGCTGCGGCCGGAGGTACTCGACGAGGCACTGGATGAGGAGGAGCTGCCAGATGATGAAGACGACGAGGATTGCAGCGCTGCAAGAGGGAAAGGCGATTGACTACGGGAATGTAAGAACCCGACGGTTCTTACTTACTACCGGCACTCCCTAGTGCCTGGACGGGAACGTCCACTTCAGTAGGAGAAGGTGTTCTCCGGGAATCGCGGAGAACTAGCGCATCTAGGCGCCCGTAGATTAGATACCGCCATTCATGTATCGTACGTAAGCGTACGGCGCCCGAAGGTTCGGGCCTCGGGCGCCTGGTGGGGGCAGAGTTCTACCACCCCCCACCATCCAGCGAGTACGCCGAGCAAACAAGCCCGGTCCAGAGTACTTGCGGGATTCGGGGAGTCGTGGGACTCGCGTACACTTACACTTTTTTACTCTAGCCGCGACGAACGAACTTTCGTTCACAGCATCAAGTTGCTCGACGTCACCACGTCATCAGAACAT